TTAAAAAAAAAAAAAAAAAAAAAATAGAATTATAAGTATACACACATATTTTTAATTAAGAAAAAATTTGATGCCAGCAGTTGTTGAAAACAATTTCGGGGAGGAGGACTAATGTTTTGCATTATTACCTATTTTTATTATGACCAATCGAAAGGATTTCGTGTTACTCCCGACTAACGGGCCGGTGACTGTGTGTTTTGCAATTTGAAAATCGTAAATTGAATTGTATTGGACGCGTACTGCAATTTATTTTAATACCTTCCATGTACGTATACGCATCGCGTGCTCACGGTGCGGCCGGACGCATCAAACGTGTTTATTATTATTCACCGATTATTTACCGGCAGATAAAATACATCGGCAGATTCCAATTCACATCGATGTAAACGAGACACGGGTAAGTTGTTGCGCTGGCAGTTTACACGCGTTCGTTCGTCATTAATTAGGTAAATGGTAAATCGACGTTCTATATACGCCGTTAAGAATGTGGGTAAATGCGTTTAACTTGATATTATTTTAATTTAAACGTTATTTAGACGTCCGCAGCAAATATAGTCGTCCGCGTTTTTTGTGTAACTTTAGTCCCTGTCTGCTTTTATAAGCAATATGAAATATTATCATATTACTATTTATTATTTTTTTTTTTCTCACGGGCTTTATGTATTTAGGTACCTATATTAGGTCAGTCGACGATTTAGCGATCGTTGTTGTTTAAATTATTTTTTAACATTGTCAATTTGAAAATACTCTCCTTGTCTATACAAATTCGAAAATAATAACAGCATAGATTAATATTCTACGAGTGCTAATTACTATCAGAATAACAACGGTAAAACAGGCTTTCTATAAGAAGACGATTTTTTAAACATTTTTATAATCGATATTATTTAATTGGTACATTGGGTATTATTATAGGCTTCATGTGTACATGCATAGTGTCCTAAATTTACCAGCGACGGTATTTAGGGGCCGATGAGACGATCGGCACCACGCTCTTGAACCAAATAATGACATTTATTTGTTATTTGCTTTCCCTGAAACGAAAGTCTAGCCTACCGTTCTTACACCTTGAAGATTACATATTGGCGATATTTCTCCGGAAAATATACATTTTCCATGAATACTATAGAATATAAACTCTGACGATTTAATGTCATACGGAAATTAGAAATTAGAAATTCCGTAAATGGATGGAATATCTGTTAACATTTATTCTGATGTTGAAATGTTCACTTTCCAAAGTAGCCACAAAAGATTGATATGAATTGGCATTTTCGACATATTTCAATCCGAAAAGTAATGCATAAAATATTTTAAATTAATGTAAATATAACCAAAATATTTCATATTGTGCGTTTAAAACCTACTTATATTTATGTGCAATGAAAAATCGTAAAACACAGAAATATGCAATACATGTCGAAAAATAGTAAAATACGCAAAAATATGTTAAATAAAACTTTGTGTTTCAGTTCTGTGATTCAAACTTGTAGCTTATCTAGCTACTTTTTGGACTGTCTAAGAAAAACATATGCATTTGCATATAAGTAGGGCCAGGGGCGTATATAGGATTTTCTTGAGGAGGGGGATATAAAATTTTTTTTTGTGTTGATGCAACCTTTTGTTAGTTACTCCATGTAAGGCTAGGTAACAATAAAAACAATAATATTGATTATAATTTTACTCTNGAATTACATAAAAATAACAAGTGTGCAATGGCAATGCGGATAAATCGTTGCAACGAGTGCGGGAAAGTGGAATGAGGTGCGAGTGTGTAATATGCGATGCACAACGACCGGAATGATTAGAAAATAATATTTATTTTAAAATTTACGAATTCCTTATCGTCTTCTGTCCGCTGTCGCAATTATTTTCGTGTTCTACGTATATAACAGCATAACAGCAGTGAGCTATCTTTATTCTTTATCAGGTACTAGCGGGTTTTACCCGGCTTCTCCCGAATATGGTCCTATTTTAATTTTGTTGTTATTATTGGGTAATGTCATTCGCAGCCCACAGGATAACAAAATTATAAATAGCATCAGTACTGCAGCCATGTAGCCATGTTTATACCTAAATTAAAAAAAAGTGCAAGGGAGGGGATCTATCCCCTATATCCCCCCCCCCCATAAATACGTCACTGAGTAGGGCCCGTATTAGTATTGATTGGAAAATAATTTGATGAAATGTACGTTATTATTCGTACAACATAATTTATCCTTAACATAAAAATCCGTTTAAGCATTTGTTTACGCAAGATAATTGTTGTAATATTGCAATTATGCCATACGTACTCTTTTTACCCGGGCGTCAGCCTGTTTTAATAACAATAAAATAAAATATTATATTAATTTCATATAATAGTTATTTCGTTATTCGGTTTAAATGTTTACATTTTTGGTATCTTAAACACAGTAGCAGAGTGGCGCAGTGGAAGCGTGCTGGGCCCATAACCCAGAGGTCCGTGGATCGAAACCACGCTCTGCTAAATAAATTTTTGCATTATTTTTTTTTACTTTTTTTTTCTTTAAATTTAATCAACAATTTTTAATATTCAAATATTATTAAATCATTTTGTTTATTTTCGAAATCCAAAACTTTTATTGCTATTTGTTTATACCAATAAATGATTGCTACAGAGCACATAATGATAAAAACCTCTCCCAAAATAAGTATTAGGTATTATGGGTTGGAATAAAAAGAAATATTTTAAACATATTTATTTTTTTCTCTAACTCTAGTCAACCTGTTCATATTTTCCCAGTTGCAGTAGGTAACTTAGATAACTTTCTTTATCGCGTAAGCATAAAAACTTGGTATTTTTCGTATTTTAACTTAATGTTAAATTTTAATCCAAAAAAAAATTAAAAATGTGTAGGTATTCTGCAGAGCTAGTTATAGGGGGCGGGCGCGTGGTAAGACCGTGGGATAGACCATTATCAATTTATATCTTTTAAGTGTCGACAATTCGAACGTTTTAACGAAATTAATAATTTATTATTATTTTTTTTTTTCTAGTATTCAAATAAAAAACGATTAGTTTTTATTATTCGTCGAGTTTGTAGACACGGGTTTTTTTTTTTTTTGGGGGGGGAAACTTCGGAGGCATAGGTAACCGCCCCTCTCGTTTTTTCGTGCCGGTTTCTGGTGTTGTTTTTACAGCATCTCGTTTCGGAAAATCAAGTACTTTCTAAATAACCCATTCGATACGCCTACAATCCAAGATGGACGTGAGCAATAGGTACACCCATAGGTTTTCGTAGCATTGGGCGCGATGTTTTCGAAGGGTTCCTAAAATGTACGTTCGAGAAACACGTAGCGCGAGCGTAACGGTACGTCACGAATACCTGCGTCGTCGCTTTAAACAGGCTGCGGCGAAGGACGTCCCGTACGAAATCGATATCGCGGCCGTTCGATAAATGTGAACATATAACGTTACGAGTCGAATTCAATTTCGCAAATCGGAATTATGAATCATGCCGGGGATTCAATACGAACGTGTTGCGAACAGCGTACGATCGTATGCCGTTCCGTGCACGCTGTTCTCGCGCGCGGCGTCACGGCGGACGCCGGTTTAGTTTTTTCGTTTTTTCTCGTGCACGTTTTGCGATCGTGAAGCCCGGCGACGTTTTCGCATTTAATCGTCCGGTTGTACAACGTGACGAGTTCCCCACTCGAACGCGCAACGAACGCACGGGCGCAACGGTTAACCGCGACGAAACCGCCCGCCGCCGACGGCCATGACGATGAAGAACATCAGCTGAATGCGAGTCCGCGTGTCGGCCACGCCGTGTTGTACGTGGGCGCGCGTCTTTGAACCGCGCGGACCCGGCCCGTTTCCACGAGCGTCGGAACTTTTGCGTTGTCCGCCAGGTAATTCACATTGTTATTTAATAACCGCGTTCGCGAGACGTTAAATGTTCGCGGACGCCGCCGTTCCCGGACGGACCGCCGTCGCGTTTGCCCCGTCCAGACATGTCTCGCGCCGCGGCGTTTCGGCACGACCCGCGGCCAACGCCATTGTCCCGGTACGTGCCGCGTGTTCCAGCTGTTTTTCCAGTGCGTCCGCGGGGAGAACCGAACCGAAATAAAACCGCCGGACACAATCGTTACCGTACAATCGAAATACAACAGCTGTTGAATACGCGTGCGTACCGCCTGCGATCCGGTTGTCGTCGTCTCTCTCTTGCCCGCGGCATCCGCACGGAAATGTTCGTTCCGATTGTTCGTTTTTCGCCGGGACGCGCGCAAACGAAATATTTAAAAAATTTACAAAATTCCGGTATGAAAATTGCCCTTAACGGCGTTACGTTTTTTTAAATTTGACTCGGTTCTGCGAGGTTTTGTCGGATTACCGCGCTGGAATTTAGAACGCGAAATAGGAAAATATTCGACACTGTACAGCGGCATTTTATTTGTCTAGTAGAAATATTTCAAACTTTTCACGCGGTATCTTAAAAATATAGAATTCTTTTCTCAGTGGACAATTTTTCCTTGGTTCCCAATAAAAATTTTTCTTAACAAATTTTTAAAAAAATCAAGCAACAAATGACGATTTCCCGGTTTTACTTTTATTGATTTCCGAGTTATCTTGGCTACAAAAACGGGGGGAATCGTAACTTATACTATATAACGTTCTAAATAGTTTACGAAGTTTTAGAGATTCTGAGTGGAACGATTTTTTTTATGTAAATACGTTTTCTAACAGAAAGCATACTCTGGTTATCAAGTATATCATCTTTTCTGAAAGGAGATTTTCTCTGGGCGGTACTTTAAAGAGATCATTTTTTTGAAATTCTCTTTAATATTCGAGATAATGATGAAAGCCTGGTTCCTTGGGTTTAAACAAGATTGAAAGATTAAAAATAAGGTTGCCATTGGCAACCGTTGTTTTTTATTTATTTTTCGTCGTTATTGCATTTTTATTATTTTAATCTATTTCAAACAAGCATTGTCGTCATGGAAACGCACATTGTCGTAATCGTTTTACCATAATATGACATATTATATATCGTTGACAAAGCAACACTATCAACTAAACTCTGCTCGGAATCGTTTTTTCGCTAACAATGGCGTATCTTTACTAACAGATATACATTAAATTCCCGTCTGTATCCTAGCTTCCCAATGGCAAAACGTATGCATTTCAGAGACAAAATTATCGGGGATTGTTTAACGATGTACTAACATTAATATACCAACGTACATGGATTAATATGACGCAAATCAAAAAATACCAATAATATTTTCCTTTAGGAATATGAGAATTGCTATTATCGGTGCCGGTGTCTCCGGTTTGGCCTCGGCCAGGAGGTGTTTGGAAAATGGTTTCGAACCCGTTGTTTACGAAAGGTCGAAGATAGTGGGCGGAACTTGGATATACGACGAACGAATCGGCCTCGACGAATTCGGTTTGCCAATTCATACCAGCATATATCAAAATTTAAAGTGCGTACCTATTTTTGTTTTGTTTTTTTTCTCTCTCTGTTTATAGGCATTACCTATATGGAATACAATATCATTTTAATGTACCTTCGCACATTTTAGGACGAATTTGCCAAAAGAACTGATGGATTATCCAAACTTTCCGTACAAAGATTTAGACGATGTGTCGTTTTTAAGACCGCGGCAAGTCCTGGAATATATCGAACAGTTTACTGAACATTTTGGACTCAAAAAACATATAAGAGTAAGGAATTGATTTTTTTTTTTTTTTTTTTACACGTGTACACGGGATACAACTCGCATCTAGTAATTTTTTTTTTTATTTCGGTATTATGTTTTTCACAATTACTTATCCAATGTAATAGTAGGTAACAATAATCGTACAATTTGCCTCGTTCACTGCACGCGGTACTTTACGGGGGAAGCATAGTATGCAGCTGTGTTACCCTTGTAGATTCTTATTCTCCCGACGTATGTCTGCGCGTCTTACACAGGTAACCATATAGGGTACATAGGTATACGATTCTATAAATATTGAAAATCAGTGTTCGTGACCATTTTTAAATTTGTATGAGAATTTTAAATTCAGATTTTGTCAAAAATCTTTAAAAAAAAATATCCACCAGTTATTATATTTATAAGATAAACATAAGATTTGATTTAGTCGCGACTTTTTTTTTATGGGCGTTTAAAGTTCAAAGTATTTAACACAATACTCGTTTACCACGATATATCTTATTTTTTTATACGTTATTTGACCACTCCGTTTGTGTATACTTAATTTTATACTAAAATACTAAAATTACCGAATTTAGCATATTTTCTTCATATTTGGGTGTTTTTTGAAGTTTTTTTTGGCAAAAATTAAAATTCGATTTCTTCAGCCATTATTGCGTGTCTCACAAAATGTCCAATATTTACCAGTGCTGGATTTGAAGGGGGCGATAAGACGATAGTATACCACACCCTTGAAGCAAACAAAAATATTTACTTGCTTCCCTGCCCCGATGGTCTTTTATACCGTGTTTGTAAATTACACAACACACGGGTAATATATCCCCGGAAATTTTAAAATTTGTATAAATAATGAATACTTTCGTAGTGGTATTCTATACGAGTAGATAGTTTTCAGTGTCAATAATATATACTACGGAGGAATACTGTCGAATAGTTTATTAGCACTGATGATTTAGCATTAGGTATAATAAAGTTTAGAAAAACAGAAAATTGTGTGTGAATAGTGTGATAAAAATCAAACAATTGTTTCTGAAGTATGTATTTGCCTCTATAGTGACTATCTATAGCCAAGCTACAGTGTTAGACTACCGGTTTTCATTTATTGATCAGGTATATAATATTTTGTCTGTTATAGTTTTGTAACTTTGTGACTTCGGTTGAAAAGTCAGAGAACGCCTGGCAAGTGATCGCGGAAGATTTGCTTACGAAAATGTCACACACCGAGTACTACGACGCAGTGATGGTGTGTAACGGACATTTAACTTTGCCTTCCGTTCCACAGATCCAAGGGCTGGACAAATTTACTGGCGTTCATATACACAGCCACGATTACAGAGCACCCATAAAATTCAAAAACATGAACGTTCTTGTAATCGGCGCTGGTCCTTCTGGTGTCGATATTTCTATGGATGTGGGCAAATTCGCAAATCAAGTAACTACCTACAGGTCATAGACGTGTAAATAATTTCATATACTTCATCATTCCTATTAGGGACATTTAGCGTGTTAACAAAATATACTAGAACAACTTTATTCTGAGTTTGTAAAAAGCTTGATAAGCCATTTAAAGTCGTTTCCGACCTCTGAAGGTCTTGCCGTATTACTTCCGTCCGTTTATTTGGCCTCTCGCGCTGGGTCTTCTTCCTTCAGGTTCATTCTCTATAGTTGATGACATAAGTTAGAGTACCTAGAGTATATATGAACAGAATTTTAAGCATAATTCCTAAAACACGATATCACAATGTCATGTCCGAAAGACTCTCTAAACTAGAAATATATAGTTGCAGCTATCTGTGCTGTGAAACGTATGTGTATACCTGCTGTAATTCGTTGACAAATCTCAGTAAAACCATGCGATTACGAGTACTTACATTAAAAATATCATTTCTAGAACGGTATAGGCCATAGATATCATGGTATTATGTTTGATAAGTAACATTATAATTTGTGGCGTGTTGAACTACACACTTTTGAGAGATAGACATTATAGTGGACCATCCACCTAACTTAAATCGTACTATTTAATTTTTTTTTTTTTTAAAAGACCATAGTCACAAATAAGTTCGAGTTTGAGGCTTATCCACCTTCTGAATCAATTTTTGAAATGGATTTTAAACGTTCTCGTCCCACAACTAAAAATAATCTCGTATAGGCACATTATTGTTTTGGTTTTGGCCTCCTCAAATCGCGTGTGTGCTTCAAACAGTGAACGCTAAACAGTCATAGTGATAAACATAGGTACAATATTTTTTATTATTACTTATTATACTTTATCAGTAATCAATAATGTTTTAATGTATTATAATTTCTATAGTTACAATAATTGTGTTGTGTCAATTACAAATTGCGTGTCTGAACTCTCAAATTAGCATTAGCCACGCCGGCCACTGCTATTATACAGTGGACTATTATAATAATATAATTATTCCCAGGGTCGTATGGCTGTATAGATGTATTTTGACGGGTATTTAGGCCCACTGACTTTACTAATAAATAACATTCAAACAAAGCCAAGATTTATTTCGCGTCGGTTTTAAAAAAATAAAAATAATTGTTTTTTTTTTTTTTTCAAAAGTTATTTTTAATATTAGAAGATCGGTAGGCCCGGGCCCCGTTACAAGGCTTACCTGCAGCAGATACAAACAAATTTTTTAGCTGAAAAAATAATATAAATGTGAACTAATACTATACATAATAATTGTTACATATTCAATTAGGTATAGGAGGTAAATCCTATAACGTTCATTTAATGGCATTATCATTAAATTATAAGTCCCTATATGTTAGGTATTTACGGTTTTCGTATTATTTTTTTTTTTATAACCGTTAATATCTCTATTATTTTAATTTATAGATACCTGCTTGTTATAGTTTTTTTTTTTTTTTTTTTTTTTTTATCGGTTTGTTGACGTCTCGTAGCGTCTCGTTTTCGCGCATAGTTTAGAATATCTGTCTGATTTGTAGAATAAATTATAGCCGTACAAATTTTAATAGGTACATAAATATAATACATATATATATATATATTTAAATTCTAAGTAGAGGGAGGGATGTAATGGTTTTACTAAGATATGTATTTATTATTTTTTCTGTCTGTAAACAACTTTTCTCCCAGAAATCTTGCTCCAATTAAAGCGTGACACGAGGCTTTTTTTCTGGTATTTTGGCTCTAGTTGGTACTTAAATAGATCATTTTTTTAAAATTCTCATTAATATTCGTGATAACGAGAAAAACTTGTTCTTTAGGTTAAAAAAGATTTAAAGGTTAAAAATAAGGTTGTCATTGGCAACCGTTTTATTAATTTTTTTTATGTTATTATTAAGCTTTAAATCTTTTTTAAACAACCGTTGTTGTCGTGAAAACACACATAGTATGAATCATTATTAGTTTTAAAGAATTGCTTAACCGAGTTACGCTCAGAATCGTTTTTCGTTACCAATTAGTTGGTTATCTTTGCTTATTGTACAGGTGTAAATTAAATAACTTTATGTATTTCTCCTTCTAAACTACCCATCTATGAAGGTGGTCACACCCGTCCCCAGTATCAGCTCTTTTTTAACATTATAATATAATACGTAGATATACTCTGTAAAAAAACAAGTATAAGTACATAAGGTTTTTTTTTATAGAAATACTAACGAAGGACATAAGTATAATTGAATGAGAGAATGGGAGAACGAGTTGAGTATTCAGAACCTACCTTATTGGCAAAGTGGCGGTTTTCCAGATAGGATTTGACAAATAAAAAGTAGGGCGGAGGTTTTTTTTTTTAAAAATTTAAAAAGGATTCCGGTGTGCCAGACTTTGACAAAGACTTGAACTATGTCAAGCAGAACCGCTGAACAATAGTGTTTATTTTCAAAAGAAAAAAATCAATGGAGCAATGGAGTCAGTTGGCGGCGAACTACGAAAGGGGGAGGGGAAGCTTATAGAGCGATAGGAAGAAGGAATGTCAGGATGTTTACCTAGCTTCGGGGATAAGATTATCACTGATACTTGGATGGAAGTTTAGATCGTTGCTCGAGAACGGCGTTTATGCGTTATTAGCTCGGATGGTACGTTTAACTATAGTGATAAATAATACACTTACTGACATTTCAACTTTCTTTTACCGTGTAGGAACATATCTCATTTTTATATTCGTGTAGAAACTAATATATACGCACCTTTTTTTTTTTTTTACCCTGTAGGAACTTATATAATATGTACCTTTTTCTATCGTTTAGGAACTAACATATGTATTTATTTTTTTACCTGCTAGGTCTCGTGTAGGAATTTACATTCACCCAAGTACTTATATCTTCTTAAATCCTAAATGATCGTTACGTTTCACATGCAATCAGGTGGGAACAACGAACATAGTGTTATACAATTATTTTTGACAACAGCCTAATGTACCTGTGTCCTTCAGTGGCAGTTAAACGGTTTTGTCATGATGGGGGATAAGGATAATTTGTAAGAACTATTGTTATTTACATTTTTTTTTTTTTCATATAAATATAAAGGTATAAATATACCTAGGAGGATGGGGGGATTTATTTTTTTTATTAATGAGACATTCCTCTCATCCCCCTTTGACCGGTTCTGCCCTGCCCTCCCCTCCAAACGCGCTTGTGATAATAATAATATGTCTAAAATAGAGTTTAAAATATGTACCTATATGAAGGTTGGTAATAAATACGTAGACGGTTAATTTTCGTTATTATGAATACATTTTTACAGGTTTACCTTAGTCATCATAGGCCAAAATTGCTCGAGATAAAGTTCTTAAATAATATTGTGCATAAACCAGATGTGGAGTATTTTTCCGGAAAATCGGTTTTTTTCAAAGACCAAACTGTGCAAACCGTGGACGCAATAATTCACTGTACAGGTTAAAATACAATGATATTTAAAACGAAATATTTTCAATTTTTTGTCTGAATCAGCATTACTGGTTTACCATTAATTATGTACAGGGCGATTCTTTTATCATCTTGCATTGCCTTCATTCGGGTAGGAAACGAACGTGTTGAAAACCTTTTACTAAATTATTCTAATACTCTAATGCAATGATAAAATAAGTAGGTAATACAATAGGTGATTATATATAAATGGAGGATTTAGCTTAAACGCTTGAGGACAATTAATGTGAATAGAGCTTAAAAAAAAAACAAAAAAAAAAAAACAAAAAAAAAAGATAAGAATAATCATTATGAATTATTAATTTATTATTTTCGTTTATCAGACATGTATTTATTACCATTCGGATATGTTAAATTTTATTTACTTATAAACCGCCACAGAAAATTAGTTTTGTTTAAACGCCTAACACGTTTTCCTGACTAAATTCTAAACAGTTGTGGACGATAAACCGTGAACGTGTAAACCAACAACGCCTATAACCACTCGTAAACCGGTAAATCCATTATTAGCGGTGTGCATGTGTCAACGTATTTCAGAACAATTTTTTTTTTCGAATTGAAACACGTGTCGAATGGTCGGTTGGTTTTGCTGTTCGAAAATCAAAAGTCAACGCTCATTTGTACGGCACAACGATCAGAAGTACCTGAATATAGTTGATAATGTCTAGCACCTACCAGCTAGGTATAAACAATGTCGTAATAATCGAATAAAAACATCTGTTTACCCAGTTACAATCCTCCGAGAAAATCGATGGACCGCGATAGAAAGAATCACCCTGACGTACTACCCCACCTACTACTAACCCGTTTACTTGAACGAATAAACAATTCGGACTTCCATTTGGAATTGTTTTTTCGTAGGATTTAACATTGGATTGCCGTTTTTGAAACCCAGTTGCGGAATAAATGTGGTCGACGGGAAACTAATCACGCCGCTGCATAAGAGTATAATCAACATAAATAATCCTAGCATGGGTTTTATCGGATTCCTTTATAACACTTTAGTGAACCGGGTATTCGATCTACAGGTGGGTGTACCGACTGTTGAACAGAGAAGTGTTTAATTCCTATAACAACATAAAATACTACTCGTTTTATTTTTCAGGTTCGATACTATTTAGAATATCTTCGTAAAAATCATTTCGCCGGAGAAGCTGCAGATTGGATGAGTGCTACGAGCACACACACGGCAGGCAACAATTTATCCAACTATTGCAAATCGTTGGCGTCGGAAGAAATCAAAATCGAACCAATCCCACGGATCATTTTCGAAATGTATAAAGGGTGCCAGGAACTCAGACACAAATATTTCCAGACCTATCATACAGCGGTATTTAGGACCGTAGACAGTGATAGCTATCTAATTGAAATTGATGGACAAAATTGTAAATTTTAAATAAAGTACCTACCCTGGTAATAGTTATATTATGAATTGAATTAATTGTACTTCTGATAATGTCGATAATATTGATAAATATATACCTACTGATATTTTACTATACCTTTTAAACATCTGGGTACCCATTCAGTGGTGGATTCGGCACTGGGTTTCTTTATATAAGTAATTAAAAATACTATAGGTTTATCTTGTTTGATATTATATTAAAAAAAAAAAAAAAATTTAATAAATTTAGAAAAACACTGACAGAGAAATTTATTTAGAAACTATTCATGACTTTCTTTACCTTATACATTTTAATCCATATTATCGACAATTAAACAATTATTCTCGCAGAATAACAATAAAAAAAAAATAAAAATTGATTTTGACAAAATGTGCCATTGTCGAATATTATTGTGAAAAATACAAGGAATATCATCAAATGATCATCCCTATGTTTCAACTAGATCTAAAGTGTAAAAAAAAGATCCTATGATAATTTAAAATTGTATCAACAGTCAAGTTGTATTGCATTGAAGTAACACTACTCAGAAAATACATAAGAAAACCACAGGATAGGAGGAAAAATTTGTTTACCTATATTATTTTTCACTATAATAAATATTTGGTTATTGACCAATTTATAGCTTTGATATAATAACAATTCAATATTTCTGGTATCAGAAAAAGGTAGGAACACCATATAGGATAAAGGCAATTTAGTTTCAAACAAAAACATAATATGTATCTAAAACACGTATTATAATTTAAAATACAAAAAATTTTGACACATTAAATAGACGAAGAAAAATGATACACAGTACAACAATAGAATTGTTTAGCTCTTTTTTTTTTTTTTTGCAAAATAGCACGAAGCACCACAATTTTGTCTAGTTTTCTTAGAAATTGTTTTTGTTTTGTAAAACAACAAAATATAAAATACTAAAATCCTAAACATATTATCATTTCATAAAAATATTACTAATATTATTTTTCAGTACAAAAAATAATAATAATAAACATATAAACGTACAAGTGATTTTTTTTTCATCAAGGACACTTAACAAAACAAAATTGATATTATAAATATAAAAATTATGGACTACTATTTTGTTTATTTGCAATTTAATCTAATAACAAATCATAATAAATAATATAAAGTATAAAATAATTATATTTTTTAAAATTGAATAATTATAATTTATCGGTTAACATAAAATAATAAATGTGAGCTTTAAAAAAAAAATTAAAAAAAAAAATATATATAATAATAAACAAACAATACACACTAATGATTTATCTAAATGACAGTTTTATTATATTACTATATATTTGTTCATAAATATTTCTGTTTCACAGTTATATTTCATTTGAATACACTGGGCATCATACAAAACAATATTAAACGTGTAAAATGGCCTCTAGTGTTTTGATAAAAAAAATATAATAATAATCTTAAAGTGCATGGGCACATTAATAAAAGGTAAAAAACTACATGAAAAGTTAATAAAAATACATTAGTGTAGAGGATTAATATTTTTCTATATATTTTACCACAATTGGTAAATTAAGTCTTTTTGTTTGAAGCAATAATATTATTATACGTATTTAACATATAATATTACATATAAAAATTTGTATTATATATAACTTGGTAATAAATTTAATAAACTGTCACATTGTAGGTGGTGTTCAGATAATTTGGTCCATTTATTATGATATAATATAACGACCATTAATGTTGATCAATGCCGGTTTATAATAGAATTACAAATTTTTGTTATTACGATTATAATTGATTTACCAATTGGCCATACCAGGTTTGTTGAGCGTCATAAAGTATATCTGACAACATGACCCACCTTTAGCGGACGAAAAGAATACCTGAAATAAAAAATATTGAATTGGTGTTTAGTTTTTTTCTTGATATATACACATTTATTAATGTTTCTCAAGTATTATAGGCATACTATTGATGGTAATAATAATATCAAAATATTATTTATAACATTATAAACTTTTGAAAAACTATACATAAAAGCGACATTTTTGAATTTGTTTACTTTAAGCATTGTTATTTATCTATATATATATATTTTACACAAATTTATTATGTACTAGAATTTTTTTTAAAAAGTTCAATGGAAAAAAAAACATACCTTATCATTTCTTTCGCAAAGGAACTTCAACCTCTGTGCTTTCTTATGCATGAATACACCATCCAAATGACCAGTTTCTACACTTCGTATTTCAATTGCTTTGTTGCCCCAACCCATTATTTGGCCAGTGCCAATATATGCAACTGATGTGGGCATTTCGCCCCATTGCAATAATATATTCTTTGACATCTATGGAAAAGTTATTTGTGTTAAAGAACAACAATAAATAAACCAAAAACAATAAATAAATACATACCTTTCCATAAGTATTTACATAGACTCCTTCGTTGTCATAACATAACAACAATTGTAGCCCATTAGAATTTGGTAACACAACAATACAATGCGGTGCAATAGCTCCTTGAGTCTTAAGTATTGAAATAATAACACATTAAGGTATATTAAAATTAATAATATTTTTCTAAATATACTTACATGTTTAGGTAAGTAAATATCATATACAGACGCAGAGTCTAGGTCTACAGCATGGAATCCATCGCCTGAACCATATATAACCTTAAGACGTGCCCCTTCTTCTATTGTCAAGTCTACAAGTAATGGTCGATGAACAAGGTCTCCAAAAGACTGAAAATGTATTTAAAAAAAAAAAAATTATTATTTTCTGTTAAGGTTAGAAATACACATATAGATAATGGCATTGTACCTTAAAAGCCATAAATTTATGATACGGCTTAGGAGCCCACGCATAGATCTCTATACTGTCTTTAAGAGCTATAACCAAGAATTTTATCCGTTCGTATTTGACAATGCAGAAATGGACAGCACCTTGTAAATCTCCAACGTTTATCCAACCGTTTCTTCTTTCCACTTGCTGTGCAAAAATGTTTTATTAATTTTCTTAGAAAAAAAACATAGATAAAGTGCATTCACTAACCCCGTCTGTTCTCAGTATCTTAGACTTCAACCATGACAAATAGTAGACCCTAACACGGTTTTTTTTACCCGAAACAGTTACTAAAATATTTTGTCCTTCTAGTACTTCCATCTGTTGGAACCGTCGCCTAGAAATTAGTTGATACACTTTACCTTGGCCACTTCTGTCTAACAACATAAGTCCAGTCTCTGTGCCAATCAATAGGTTAACTCCTGATGACAATACAATTTTGTTTGTTTTTAAATTATTATTTTGTATACAAACTAATATTATTATACAATAACAAATTACCCCATAATGCTGCGCAGAGAATTTCAGAGTTGAATCGTTTCTTATATTTACGTATTTCTGGGGTCTCTGAGGCTAAATCATGAACAGTTGGAGTTACATTGACATTAACATGAGATTCTCGACGACCTGGACCTTGGGAACTAGTACTTGTGCCAGTACCTCCAGCACCAAAACCGAAAGTTAGGAATGAACGCTGTTTCTGTAGTAATTGATATGTTTTTGATATTGCATTTTGAAACTAAAATTAGACGGAAGAAAAACATTGAATTAGAAAATAAATTTAAAAACGTTTTTATTGAATTATTAATTTGTGTTCTAATACCAACAGCCATTTTTGTAGTAGGCATTAAACGTGTATATAAGTGAGTTGTTTGCTGTTGGTAATAATTAATGTAAAAGAAAAACTACACTTACTTTTATCAAAATGTGGCACGATGTTTGAGTTAATGATGTTAATGAACATAAAACAAAATGAAATTAGATTAGATATTATTATAAATCAATTCTAATAAAAACAGTTAGAGTATTACAAGGAAATAAAACAATTTTTAAGTATATAACTATATTTAGTATTTGCTTGGTTTTACAAACCTCTTCGGTAGTACTTTTGTCCAGTCTTTGATTTGGAGTACCAGGACTCGATGATGCCTAATCAAAAATAAAAGGAAATATTAAATAATAAAAAACCATAATTGTATTCATTATTAATTCATCAATTAAACCTGAGAAAGTAGATCTGGTAGAACCGAACTCGTTCTTGAGCTCGATCCACCTGATATATCGTGCCTATGGAAGTCACTACGGCGTTCGTCACGGTTCTAAAAATTTAAATATACAATTTAAAATTAATCATTGTACATATACATTTTTACAACACATGTATACTATTAAACAATTTTGCATTAGTTATGTTATGTAGCGTGTATTAGTTGTGAACAATTTTCAGTGAATGTTAAGCTCAATTAGTGTGAGCTAGTTAAACCCATTAAATATCATCATTCATGCTAACGAAAATAATATTTTATGTACGATTATAAAATACTTACCTTAACATTAAGTGTATAAATATATTGCCATTAACAAATATCTGTACAAACATAATATGTTTGTTTTATTCATTTTGATATTCTATGTATTTATGTAACAATATCCGAAATATCTATTTACAAAATGCTTATACATAATACATGCAACACAAACATAACACTATTTATTACATGCACACAACACAAACGCATTTTGATTAAATATAGCATACACCATTCAAACTCTTTTTGTGTATAATCAACACACTTTTATTTTGGAATTTTGTGAAAAAAGTAAAAACCAATTCCGATTTCGTTCTTGCACATTCCAAAATATCAGACATAATATTGATTTCAAGTATAATGTGTATTTTTTCCCTTATTTTCTATGACGGAGAATTATTTAGAGATGTGCAATGATACAAACATACATTTTACTTTTTTTTTTTTGAATTCGATTTCAAAATAGTATAATCAATAGCTTTAATTTACTTAAACAAATTATACAGATCATTAGGTAATAGAATATTCATAGTGTTTTATAAGTTAATATATATATACATATGATATTAAATTATATCAAATTTGTATGGCTAACAAAAAAAGAAATTATTAAAAAAAAAAAGTTTACAAAAAGCATTTTAAGATATTATCAATGATTAAAGTAAACAAAATAGTATTTTAAAAAACTGAACTGATTAAATAATAATATAACCAATTTAAAACAAATATATAATCAATTTGCTTCATGCTAATAAACAAATGTAAATATATTTTAAAAGTTTTAAAAACTTAACTATACAAATAATTTAATAATAATTTTAATACAGAAAACCAAATATTAAAATCATTGAATGTGAACATTAAAATATTTTTCAAAGAGTAAACAAGATACATTATATCAAAGCACATCAATAAGAATCAGTTAGTATTTATTTGTACCACAAATCATTTGACCAGGATAAATTGGTTTAAAGTCATGCATTTTTCACAAATACCACTGACCGTTCACCAAAATACATAAAAAAAATAAATATATATATAGGTATACATATATATATATATATACACACACACAATATTAGATTCTTTGGACTCGATGATCAACAGTGATATGAATGAAATTAAAATATGACATAAAACCTAATTACCCTCGGTATATAAGGTGTCTTTACACTAAGTATATAATACTTAGAGTGACTGAGACACCAGATATGTGTATTATTAGCGAGGACGAGTATTAAAAAGTAAAACACATGGCATGATATATTAACCTTTACTTTTCTATCTCTAACCTGATTAGTTTCATTGGTAAATCCATTATCTTGACCAGTACTCTTCTTGCTACTATCAGCATTTCCGCGCGAAAATCTGGGATCACCCTCTACACGTTTATTTTCTAACAGTGGTCTTATCAATCTTTGTCTGCTAGATTGCAATACAATATCACCATCAGTTCTTTCCCGTCTTGGCCTAGTTGGCTTCCATGGTTTTTTTAATGAATCAGTTCGTTCTATAGACGACTTTTTGCTAGCATCTGAACCTCTTCTTTGTTGAATATCAGAGCGCCTTCCTTCAAGAAACACAGCGGAATGGCGAGCTGATGGTACAAAAAAGTCTGTATTCTCTCTTCTGAACACATTTGTTATAAATTTAGAAGGACCAGATGATTCTGAACCATTGCGTTTCTGCTGTGGCATGCGTCTTGGTACTGATGATACTGCATCTTTGATTTTTGGATGAGAGTCTTTTTCCGCTATACTATTTGATTTTTGGAAGAATCGCGCAAAATCCCAATCCTTCAGCAATTTTTGTTCATCAATATCTAATTTTCCATCATTTGAATTTGGTTTTCGCTGCGATAACTGGTGTGGGAATTTTTTAAAATATTAAAACAAAATAAAACAATTTTAACCTAATGGTCAGTAGTGCAAGTCTCGAGACAATAGAACTCCAATTAAACCTACCTATGAACCTATATATGAATGAAAAAAATAATTTTTTTATTTTGCTCTTAATTTTAATATTATAACACTAAATAATAAATATTAATTTGGAATTTTTTTTTTTAATCGGATAATATAGTTTTTCATGTCCATAATAATAATAAATTAACCATAGTTTGTAACTTCATAAATAATACCAAATAAATTTATAAATATTAGCGTTTTATAAAATGTTGTTGTTTTATTTTACATAATAAAATAATACTTAGCAAGTGTATAAATAATAAAATACCAAACTAAGTGAAAAAAATTCCAAATACAAAAAAAAAAAAAAATCTCACTAAATACAAAATATATTGTAATTTAAAATTTTTTATTACTATACCATTATACTTCAATAGCTAAATTATTATAATATATAATAAAAATGTTATTTATATATCTTAGGAACATTAAACAAAAACTGTAAAATTGTTTACAAAAAATTGACTTTTTCCTTGAAAATTAATCAAAATTTAAACGTAATCACAATGATTTATTATGTCTATTGGTTGTTTAAAAATAATTTTTAGATGTTTGTGTTCTGTTAGAAAAACTGTAAAACGATATTAAAAAACAAAGCCTTTAAAAAGGTTAAGGTTTTCAAAAATTGTAAAGAATTTTATTTTGTTATGACAATTTCATGATAGAGAAAGAGTTCTTCGTTGTAAATGTATTCTCGATAAACAAAAAATATATATATAATATATTTACAATGAAATGAAACGTTGATGAAAAAGAGACCCTACACCATTATAAGCTAGATCCACATTATTTAATCAATCATATTTTCACATTAATGATAGTTAAACAAAATATTTTAATGCAAAAGTTATTATTAAATAATAATCATTATATTTTTATGTAAATAACAACAGTTTAAGAATTTAGTATCTAGATAAACATGGAAAAAAACGTTGCTATAAGAGTATGAGATCAACTAATATGTTTACATGTGGAACCAGCTTTAGAATAATTAAAATTTATTATGTGATTAGATGAGTAAAATTTAAATAAGCATTATTTCATAATAGTTATTATATCTTGTTTTATTTATGCAATATACATTTGAAAACTTTAAAAGTAAACAGAATAGTAAGGAGAAATATTTATTGTTGGGGAAATGTAAACATTTACATGGACAAAATTCTACCACCAAAAGATACTAGCTATTTTCTACTATTAAAAAAAAAATAAATAAAAAAAATACACACTAAATGTATGAAAGAACATACTTTTTAAGCCATATTATTATTAGTAAAAAAACAAGCATTTGAGCTAACTTTGTAATTAAAAAAAAATTACCCTACAAATATGTTAAAATTAACATATTTCTATATAAAAATATATATAAAATATAAGTAATGCACTTCAATGGGACATTTTTCAAAATGAAATAAAACAATTATTATCTATTAATACTCATGCACCAATCAATGCATATTTTTAAATTGTATAAAGTTTATTACAAATTTAATTATTTTATTAGATTAAGACAATTGTAAAATAAAATAATTATTTATTATTGATATTTATTTAACTGTCCAAAGAATCTCAGAGGAAGTACTATATAAAAAATATTTTTACATTTCATGCTAAAAAAAAAGTGTCGGAAATGTCCCATTCTAAGCTTATGATTCTATATTTTTTTTTTTTATTTATTCAGACTACACACAATTTATCATTCACTAACTTTGTGAAAAGTGTAATGTGGTGTGCATTAACTTATAAAATAAAAAACACTCACCCTTCTTAATACCAGTGTTCTGTCACCATTTTCTTCCTCATCGGGTGTAGGTGGAAGAGGACGATTAGGTGCACCGCCAGGTCCCATAACAGTACTAGAACTTGATGATGATCCTAATATCAAAATAAAATCATATAATTAAATTTTACTACTTTAATAATTTTATTTATACATGTATATTTATCCAAGAAATGAATCAAATATTATAAATATTATAAAATGAATAATACCTTCTAAATTTACAAATGCATTCGGATTTATATCAGCTGGTCTAAAAAATAAAACAAAATTATTGACACTCATGTTTTCAGAAAAAAATAAGTTCTATAAATAACTTACAATGGTTTTGGTGGATCACTAGCAAGCAATGTTCCATCATTGGCTTTTCTTCTAGGTGGTGCACGGCGTACATCATGTCTATGAGCAGTATCATCTTCTTCATCATCATCGTCGTCATCATCATCATCAGAAGAGTCTGATTCAATTATTCCTTGAGGTATAATTTTTACACCACCATTTTGATGAATTTGTGACGCAGAGACATCAGTCTGTCTGGCTGATGCACTCACTTCATTTAACTGAGAAACCAAAACCATCCAAATCTCAAATTATTGTTTGCTCTCTGGTTAAAATATAAATTTTAATAAAATACCACTTACCATAGGTTGGAACATATTGGAATTTCGCTGAGGTTGCTGTTGTTGTAGATGAAAATGTCTATCATCGCGTGGTGGTGGAGGAAGGGGCCTAGAAGGTGGGTGAGGATCTGGGACAACTAATTGGATAAACAAATAAAATTAATTGTACATTTTAATTATTATTATAACGAATAAATGTTACCATACCAATTAATCTACTGGGAATTATAGGAGGGCGAGCAGGAGGACCGGGTTCTGGTATTTCTTCTCTTTCTTTACCATGTTTGTCTTTACCGTGAGGAGTTAAAGTTCGCCCCTCTTGAATTTGTTGGAAATTACGTCTTAATGTATTATCTCCAGGTGCTTGAATAATGGATGAATGTTGTTCACCAGCAATATTATGATGATCATCATCTTCTTCATTTTCAGAACCACTATATCGATAGTCTTCTCTTTCAGCTGTAAATGTAATTATAATTAAATTAAAATTAATATAATTATAATTAATATATATTAATGGTATATTAAATATTTACATTTTTCTTGCTTTCGTTTTTTACAACGATCAATATGATCTTTAAGTTGAATTCGGACTTGTCTCTCGGTTGGTTGGTCCCTAATGTACGGATGTTTTAAAAGTTGGTCTGTATAAGGCCTTTGGTGATAGTCTTTTACTAAAACTGTTTCAATGAAACCTTTATAACAAATAAAATATTTACATTTTACATGAAATGAAATATAAATAAAGATAATTTTCTTAATAAACTGAACATACTATGAAATTTTTTGGCCCATTTTTTCGACTTCAATCTAGGCGGAGAATTTCTTGGGATTAAGAATAAAGCTCTCATTGGATGGAGATCACACAAAGGAGGTTGAGATTCTGCCATTTCTAAAGCAGTAATACCTAAAAAAACAATAAATAATTTATTTTAGTATAGATATATTTTTTTAATAATTTTATTATCATACCTAAACTCCACAAATCACTTCTGTTATCATATGTAGCATCTGGGTTTTCTTCGCACGCAATAACTTCTGGCGCCATCCAATAAGGAGTACCAATAAAAGTATTACGTCGCCCAATTGTACGATCTAATTGGGCACTTACACCAAAATCTACCAATTTCACTTCAGCATTGTCAGTCAACAAAACATTCTGACCCTTGATGTCACGATGTATAACCTTGTTTGAATGTAAATAACTGAGACCACGCAATATTTCTCGACAAATGTAAGCGATCCATTCTTCTTTAAGTGACTGTCCTTTAGTTGATTTTACTAAATCAGTGACTGATCCTGCTCCACAGTATTCCATCACGAGCCATAGCTGATCATCTTTACCTGGTGGACTTTTTTTTATAAACGCACCATAATAGGTGGCAATATTACGATGATTGGAATACTATAAAACATAAACCATTGTATCAGTGTAATTCAAACTAATCAAAATATAATGAAAAAAATTACCTTCTTCAAAACATTAATTTCCAATTTAATTTCTTCCTCTTCCTCCTATAAAAAAGGAATACATTAACATTATAACTAACCCAAGACAAAAAAAAAGATACTTATAATATATTGTATACTTGGTAAGTACAAAGTTCATGAAATAATACTGTTAATTTCAAAAACATTAAAATTTTTACTTACTTCTGTAACATCCATAACTTTAATTGCTGCCAATTGTCCAGTTTTCGTATGTCGCCCCTATAAAAACAATAACAATTATTATCTAATTTTTTTTTTTTAAAAACCACCAACACATTTATTTGATTCAACAAAAACTGTATCTATAAGTTATAAGAGTTTATCAATTAGTGGATACCAACTTCTTTTACAACATTTATAATTACAACACAATGTTTTATGAGTTATTCAATAATTACTCAATAACCATTTAAATTTTTATTACTTTTAACTATCAATATACAAAAGCATAAATCTACCCAGTTTAAAAAAAAAAAAAATTACAGTCAATAGTCTTAAAATTAGTATACTTATAAAATATAATTAATAGGAATATAGGGGAGGTGATGCTATACCTCCTAGTGATCTCCCCTGTGAGTAGTGTAATTCAGTCTGTTTTAAAATTGTTCAAACCAAAGGATTCTCGCAAACCATATAATGAATACACAAAACCAAATAGCATCAAACCGACAGCCAAAAGTCTATGGACCTCCTGGCTTAATCAACAAAAAAACAGCCCTTCTAAGAGCTACTCTACTGACACACATGGCCATTGCGTAGAAAAAATAAAATAATAAAGCTACAAAAAAAAATAATAAATAATAAAAAACAAAAATATACATAGACAAACAAAAAAAAAGTAGCAAAAAAGAGTTACAGAGAATCCGAGTACCGCACCTAAATGTAGAAGGTTTAACAAGAGCCAAGTATGACATTCTAAGCAAGATGCTTAAAGATATGAAAAAATATACTGGCGCATCAAAAGACCCATTTACCAGAAAATGATACAAAACAACTGAAAATACAAGGTTTCAACATGGTTGATTACAAAGGATATGCAAAGCTTGGACTGGCGATAACATACATAAACCAAAACTTTGAAGAACATGTAAACCCTATCAAGGGTTATGGACACACAATTGGTATATCTCTAGGAAATCTGATAATATATAACATTTACAAACCACCTTCAGAAAGATGGTCTGACATGGTGCTTCCAGTTCAATAAATCCCTTTAATTTACATAGGTGATTTTAATTCACATAGCATAGAATGGGGCTACTCTAGAGAAAATGAAGATGAGGAAAAACTCACCAGCTGGGCTGCTATTTATCACTTACATCTAGTATATAACGCCAAGCAGGGTAGGACTTTTAAATCAGAACGATGGGGGACAACCACCTCATCTGATCTGTTTTACATCAAGAGACAAAGATGACCAACTTTTAAGAGTATTAATATCAATCATACCAAACTTCCTCAAATGTCAGCACAATTCAGTTATTATAGACATAGAAGTCTATTTCCCAAGGATCAACAACCTTAAAATGTCCAGGTGAAATCTATAAAAGGCTTAATGACTGGATTTCACTAAATACACGAAGAAAAACATAAACCACATCTCTTCTATTTTGAAAAACTACCTCAGATTTGTAAAGCTTATAAAAAAAGCTGCTTCATTGTCTATACCAAAAGGGCATAGACAAAATTATATTCCATACTGGAGCAAAGAGTGTGACTCTAAACTAAGTGATATGATCAAACCGGAAATGAAAAAACTGCTAATCAACTGATGGCTTTCCTTGATGGAGAGAAAGAATAGATGGATTACTGCTATGGAAGAAATGGACTACACACATTCAAGTAGGAAAAATTGGTCACTCCTGAGGAAGCTTGGTACAGCACAGCCATCAAGAAAGGTAAGCTACTGATATTGCTAACATACTTTTTAAAACATCAAATATTAAGCCCCATAAAAGCAAAAAAATCGAGATACAAAGAGAATCCCAAGAGGAGTTAAGGAATTGTGAAGAAAAGTCTGCTCTTATGAGTGAGTTCACGGCTGAAGAGGTTTAAACGCACTAAAATCTGTGAAAAACAGAAAAATGGCAGGAGCAGATAAAATCTTTTCCAGAACTCCTTAAAAAATCTAGGATCAAGGAGCATCAGTTGGATCACAACATCAGAAAGAATCTGTAGAACACCTATGGATCAAACGCTGGGAACAGACAGAAATTCAAAATAGACACCCGATTAAGGAACCATTTTTTTAAGTCCCTGATTGGGGTAGTACAAGGGCTAAATAGTTAACACTTTACCGAATAAGAACGGGACAAGGAAGATACAATTATTTACTTCACAAATGGAACATGGCAAACTCCACACTTTGTGAATGTGGAGAAATGCAGACAATTAAACATATATTCGAGACGTGTCTTAGTACAATGTTTACAAAAGGATTAGCAAAACTATACGAGAGTGAACAAGCCGCAATAAAATGGCTTGGAAAACTTGGTACATGTCTGTGATTTTTAGTACTATTGGTATTGATGTTATTATGATTATTATGGCTACTATTAACTGTTTACCTATATTTTATTTTATTACTTATTTAGTTAGTTGCCCATTTATATTATTTATTTAATTTTATCAATATTTTTCTCATCTCAACTAGTCGAATATGTCATATGCATAAATAAATAGGAATGTTAGAAAATTCCCCTATACATATCAAACATTACCTACATTTAAATAATTAATCATCAATTACTACAATTAAAGTGCGTAGTAATAATAAAAATACATAAATATCTAACCACACTGTAAATATAGTATACTAATAGCAGAATATTTCATATTTTAAAACTTTAAGATAATATAAAATTTATTGTATCATATTCATAAGTCATACAGTATTAAATTAAATACATTTTAATTTATCTATTAATGTATATGTATATCTAAAATAATTTATAATAATATATATCGAAGTAACACATTTTTAAACTAGACATATTTATAATAAACTGATAATAATAATATATTGATGAGTTAATAAGAGTGATTTGTGTGTTAATTGAGTGAGCCGATAAAGAGAATTATTTGTTATTTCATTATATTATGAGGCACAATGTGACTTTAAAAATACCCACCTATTAATATAGGTAAGAATAATTAAGAATATTATATTTATTAAACAAATTTATTTTTACACGACCAAATTAAATAGTAGTTATAGTAGTATTAGTACTGAGTTGTTACTGTACAATGTGTATGAAATACTAAAATCACTGGTGCATGACAACACATACAATGATTCACTTCATTAAAAACGTAGGCGGTTCATATATAATTGGTGTCATAATATAAGGAAATATTGTAACCTTTCTTAACTTGTTGGGGTTCATAACTCTCACAGAATGAATAGAATTAAATTTCCAAACATTCCAAGTTGTAATAGTTCTTATTTAAAAATATATTACTAATACAAATTTTAAAATCATGATAAACGTATTATTTGTTAAATTGTTCAAAATAGAATTTAATAAATTTTATATTATTATTGAAAGAAACAATTTGCAGGTACAAGAGTACTATAGTCACAATGAACAATAATAATAATTACAATTGATCAATGCGTGAAAATGATGACATTTACTCTAATGAACAATACAAATTATATAACAACAGTAGCAGAGAATTAATTGATGTTGATGGACTTTGAAGGGTCAACAGCCAATTATTATACTAAAAATGGCACGCCCTAATCTAATAGCTACAGCATAGTTTCTTCAAGGCTATGATAATCAACATAAATTTAAAAAAATAAATAATATCTACCTAGACATAAAGTACCTAGGTAGAGGTTATTGCTCTGAAAAATACAATACAATTATAAGTACAAAATGCCTATCCATCAGATTTAAAAATGTTATTATCCTATTTGATGATAAAAATCATAGGAAAATGTATGATTCAATTACTCAAATGTTACAATAATATACTTCAAACCTTTAATAATAAGATAATAATTTATAAATACCTATCTAATTTCATAATAGTAAACAGAAATTAAATTTCTTTTGAACAAGAAGTATTTTGTTTATAAAATTATCAACGCAACTTACAAGAATTTATTGATTACTCGACAATATTAAAAAGCGTAACTAGAAACAAACTCAAAGGCTGTTCTCACCGACGTAAAGAAAAAGAAAAAAGAAAGTGGTTTATTTGATTTTTAAACAGAGTTTATGTTGGTGAGAACGGTCCTAAGTGCACTAAACTGTCAAACGACAGTGTCAGATACAGATTGTCAAATATCGTATTTGATGGAAATTGATAGATCACTTACCTTATAGACTTGCCCGTAAGTGCCATTTCCGACGACTTCGATCAGCTCAAATATACCAGCTGGATCCTAAAAATTAAGGCATGCGTGAGATGTCAGACAATAAGTAGACTAGGTAATAAAATCGCACGATACACACGCATCATGGGTTTACGTGAAAATAGCAGGCATGCCAAAAATGTCACTATACACACCTTTAACGCGTTCAGATCGATGTCGTCCAGCGAACAATTGACGCTCGGTGCCAGGTTGTGTGCCATGCCCAACATCGGAACAAACCCGTTGCTCAAATCGAATCGAAACCTGTTGACGACTCGATGACGGGAGACCGACTTTTAGTGGTCGTGTCGGTGAATTTCTGGCCGTGTGGCCTCCTCTATTACAACTGTGCGGGTGACCAAAATTTTACACTGTTACTCATACGATGTCGCAGCCGCAGTGCATTGTTGTCAACACGACGTGTGTGACGGAAATTTCACTAAAATGGAACGGACAATATCATGTTTGTGATAGTTTCGTAAATGCACGACGATTATTTACATTAATAAAAAAAAAAAAACTATTGAGAAACGGATATACGAAAACAATAACAATCGGGAAAATCCACACCTTTCCTGGAATCACGAATCTCAATATTGTGGTGACGTCATCTGGACTCGACGGGAGCACTGACTGCGCCGTTCGTTTTATCGTCTATCGGAGAGAATTTAGAATTTCAATTTTGGTCAAATTGATACGATATCAATAATGGGGAGTCCTCCTTATCTATGTCCTCAACTCGCCGTATCGTTTCGTTCCGTGTGTTTTGAACGACACGTTTCTATTTGATTGCACGAAATAATTTGTACCCGTCGTTCTACCAACATTATCACTCACTATCACTATTAATTTACCATTCACCAAAAATGCGCGGTAATTATTACCGCGAATTTTTTTTTTAAATATAATATCTTTATTATATTATATTATTTATGAATATTTATTATAATTTCGCCATCAATGTTTCACCGTATCTACACTTTCTTCAGGTTTTTTATTATTCACACTATTTTCGGTCGAAAAACACGATGTCATTGAATCATTACCTAAACAGTATCCTCTTTATTATTATAGTTTACTTGTATTATACGATTAACTAATAATAATAATAAAAACACCAAAATTATTTTAGTTTACTTGTATTATACGATTAACTAATAATAATAATAAAAACACCAAAATTATTTTACTTAATAATAAAAACACCAAAATTATTTTACTTAAACTTGTATTATACGATTAACTAATAATAATAATAAAAACACCAAAATTATTTTACTTAATTTTAGTTACTAATATATTTCTATTTTTAATAGTTACGTTTTACTGACTACTGGTTCTACTATAATAGGTATTGATTTTAAAAATCAATGTGTTCAACCTGTATTAAAATTACTTGGTATTGTACTTAATAGTATTAGTTTATGATTTTATATCATAAATACAGTTGTGTGAAGTGTTTAATATAACACATTTTACGCATAAAGTGTATATCTGGTCCTAAAAAAATGTGCATTTTACGTTTCCAAAGTTATAACACTTTATATTATTTACCTTTACAATGTCCATATTGAAGTTAAACTATTATTAAAAATTGAATATTAATTCACATTTAATTTTAAATTTAAATTAAATTATTAAAAAATTAAAATTTTAATACTGATTTAATTTGTTTTTAAAATGAAAACACGAAAATGACGTTACTGGCTAGCTATAAACAGCGCGTCGAAAAGTTGTATAGATTGAACTCTGCAGTATCAGCGGTAACGTCTTGGTAGACACAATCAAAATGTATCTACCATGATAATAATATTAATCAACCAGAAAAGAGTATTTCACACGAAACGAAACGACACGTTGAGTTGAGGACTCCATTCATGGTCGTGTACATTTATTCCACGGTAACTGGTTACCGCTAATAGCCAGATAGATGATAATTATTATCTAATGGTATTTTATTGTGATAACGACAATCGAATGAGCAGGCTGCATGTGTCTAATATGTTGAAGTTCTACCAAATATAAAATATAATTTTATGTTATATTTTGTAATTTTGTACTATATTTTTCATTTATAATTCTATAGTCATAAGCTTGCATTTTTAAAAAAAATTCTTTTGAAAATTAAAATGAAAGGTCTTTCTATGCTGAGAAGAATTAAACATCAACTAAACAGCAATTTTAATGCCTTTTGTAACGTGATATTTGGACAACCACCTCCGCCTGGTAAGTTTTTGGTTTAGGTTCATTTAGGATTCTTACAGCATTATTTGTGTTTTACAGCAATTTCTTTTGCGATTCCCATTGAAACTAATTCAAATTTGTCTTCTCGCGCAATAAATGTTCAACAACTATTTGGCAATTCCATTCTTTGGGCAGTACCCAAACATAGAAGGACAATAGAGAAAAGACTTAAACGTAAATTTGGTTGTATCAATGACTTTTATAAAATGCTAATGCCTCGCACGGATTTATTAACCTGTAACCAGTGTGGTCATAGTTATCAGAAACGCCATCTTTGTCGTAAGCAACAATAATATAATATACCTACTGTTACCTAGTATAGTTATATTATTTTTATGTTTTATATTTTTTAGCAAATTGTTATAAGAAGGTTAATGATGAAACTAAAGAGATGCAAGAAGTTATTGAAAAAGAATTGGGCTTGGAACCAGTTGAACATGAAGTAATAGTACTTTACAAAGGCGAGAGAACCAAACAACCGGAAGAATTTTGGAATGTAAGCTATTCAATTTTCATATTGTATTAAACAGTTTAAATTCTCAATATATTATTTTATTATAGGGTAAGAGAATCATAGAACTGAAAAGGGAAAAACCATCTTGGTTCTGTAAAAACTTATTACAAAGGACTACAATTGGAAATTCAGATTCCAAAGATGTTAAACCATCAGAACTAGCTTAAATTAGTCATATTTTTTTTTAGTATAAAATTCAGTGTAATTTTATTTATTTTCATTAATCATGTTGATCAATATTTTATAAAATCAAGTAGAAAATATACTTTTATAATTAGAAAAAAATATAGTTATTCATTGCTCTTAAATAATGTTCAATAGTGTCCAGATAAACTATCGATTATAGTTTCAGGTTCTTCGCTGGGAAAATGACTGCTTACATGTTCAACTAATTTATCAAACATTCCGTCACCTTCTTCATCTTCCACAATATATAATTTACATAAAGGACATATACTATGATTATCTGGTTTAGCACGAATCCCACAAATACAAGGTTGATTAGAATCTGATGTTGAAATTGTTAATGTTTCTGCATCTCGGCATTCAACAGTTGGCTTAACAAGTTTGACTTCTGTAAAAAAAAAATTTAGAATACTATTAGTTTTGTATGGGCTTTTTTTATCTTACCTTCAACAAGTAGGTTAAATTTTGAAGTAATATTAATAATTAAATCATTTTGATTAGCAAGTAAATGTTTTGCAAAAGTTAATTTTTCTTTGTATGCATTTAGTTCTGATAATAACATAGGCCAAGATTCGTCATCTGAACTGTACTGGAGGCTTACCAAATTATCATCCGTATCCTGAAAAAATAAATTTGAACAAATTTAATTATATCTTAGTTATGTCTTTATGATTTTTAAATGTTTGATTACCAAAGTATGAACATTCAACTACAAATGTATGTAAACATAGTAGTGAATCTAACTTATTATAAAACTTAAGTTACTGTAATTATGGGAAGTATTATAGGTAATTTATGTAAGTATAGATAGTTGTGTTATAAAAAGATTTAAATTCAAAATTAATAATAAAACATTTAATTAATCATTAAACATACCATTATACAATTGGAATTAATTTTCAAATCGGCATCTAAAAATATATACATATATATTTGTCATTAATTATATAATATTGTGACATGAATAAAACATCAACGGTTATAATAGGAATATTGAATACTAATAATATTATAATATTTTAAATGAAAGATTCATGCTCAGACGAATCTTTGTAAATTATTTAAAAATGCATTCGAGACATTTTTATAAAGTGTAGAATGTAACTTATTCAGAAATAAATCAATCCAGTGTCAAAATTTTTATTTTAACAATCATATTTAACTTTATTTTAAGTTAAACATTATTTTATTATTAAATCATCTTGACAACAGACACGATATAGAATATAGACACAAATAGAGAACACTTTATTAATTGCCAGGGTCTAAGATATTGTAATTATCTTAAAAGTTAATCTAAACAAATGGATAATATTTAAAAAGAAAGCTCAAGTTTTCGGACAGGTAAATATGAAGATAAGATAACGAAAAAAAAAAAAACAAATAACTAGGAATTATTTTGTAAGAATTTCTATCATGCTGGTATTCACTGTCTTTTTAAAAATATAACTGATCATACATTTTAATTTATCATGTCTGAAAAAAAAAAACTATGTAAAAGAAAGAAATTATGTTTTTGAATAATATTGAATGTTAAATATAAATTATTAAAATGTTTTTTTGATTAAAAATTGTGTATGAATTATTCATACCATTGTATTTTAAGTAGTTGTCAATAATAGCTATTGAGTTTTTTGGTTTGATTTTATCATTCAAATGAACTGCAGGTTTATCCAAGGATGACAATTTGGTCCACAGCGTACAATTTTCATCAGTCACTATTCGTAAATATTCGACCAATTGTTGTTTTTTACAAGACAATTCTTGTAGATTTACTTGAACTGATTGATTGTCGATTGCTTGACATGTACAGCGACCTTTAATGGTAACGTTTTCTTTTTCGACAATGTCTAATCGAGATTGCAGTTTTTCACATCGATCTGACAATGTTTGAAGGGCTACACGCATAGCAGCAATAGATCCCACATCATCTGCCATATTTCGGGGTAGTATATTATAAAAAGTTATTATTATACTACAATTTGCTAATTTCTCAACTAAATTATATTATTGTTTTAAAAATAATTAATAGCTAATATTAAAGTTCTATAGTTTATAAATCTTTTAGTAACAACAATAATAAATGTTTCAATTTTTAAACTATTAATGTTACGAGAAATAAGGACCAATATAATTTTAGTAAAGTCAAAATGTGTTATTTGAATAAAATATTGGAGTTCAAAGACCGTACTAACTTATCACTATTAAAATTTTTATCAAAAATGATACCCACTTCCATAAATAATATTTACATACATACGTCTACTTCACTGGTGCAACCACAGAATAGATTAAATACTATCATAGAACGCTCTCTAACGGATAATTGAGTTATTAATTTATTTATACGTATTTTTAATCGTGCTTTGCACCTACTCTACTTAATTGAAATTGTAATAAAAATATACATATCTACTCAGTGGTGGCACCAAATAATTTTAACTTGAATCACTGATTTAATTTTCCACTCATCTATCCACCTAAACTAAAAATACCACACCGACACACTTTACTAAAAATGTATTGAAATTTGTTAAATTTCAATAAAATTTGTCAAATTCATCGAATTTCCGAAGTTTAAAATTCTTATAACAACTTGTTTTGTAAAAATATAATAATTTTTGTTATATTTCTGAATACTCGTTTTTTTGTGAATCAAGCGGTTCAAATATATCTGCTTCTCGACGCCACTGTGGGTATCTATTTACATATTTTCCAAATAAAACTATAATTTTAATAACTTTACCTATAGCAAAAATCCAATGAAACTGGATCAGTGCTAGAATTGAAGGGAAGAGGGGTATTTTAGGAGACTAAGAATGTAACGCCATTATATTACGTAAATTGAATGTGTTTTAATTTTTAATTTTACGTACATTTTTTTGCGGAAATCTTTTTCTGCAAGTAAAAATACTCAGATTCTTTATGCCGAAATCGTACCTAAAAAGATGTGGATGGATGTTCCATCTGGAAGTTCTTAATTTGAAACTTCTTTCAAAATGCCCAATACCATTCCCTCAAAATTTTCACTTTTTTATAATACACTTTTTTGTTGTTAAAAATGTTCTGGGTCCCAGTTTTTTAAAAGAATTAAATGACAATAGGCATCTACATCGGTTATTTTTTTGCTGGTATTTGAATGGTATTTATATAGGTATGGTTTTATTATTTGGTTTTTATATTCACTCGGGGTGATAAATAAGTAGGTAGGTAAATAATTTCGTTAGGTAAAACAAAAAGAAAAAAAAATCATGTATTTTTATCGTTTAGCACAGTGCATTGTTGGCCGACTCTTATTTCACATATTTTATGTGTTTCGTGATCGTCGCGTTTCAGATAAATTCCAAAAACACTTTTGCCTTGCCGCTTGTGTTGCGCCAACACGGACAGCGGTTTTTGATATTTTTCTGATGTGCCTTGATCGATATTCACCATTCTGCATCGTTCACAGACCGAGTCTAACTGTAGACATACACAGAAAAAATAAAAAAAATGAATAATAATGTTTTAATAATCGCGAATTAAATTATAACCGTGGCTAGGTAGGCAATTTTTATAAGCGAAAAACTTAGGCATGAGCACCAATTATCAACACAATTACATTCCTATTACAAGCATTCTTCTTCTTTAAAGTTTCTGAAATCCTTGTAGAACCTTCACTGCCTTAAATACACTCCTCCGTCTGTCTGTATCCACGTTAGCCACTCTCCAGGCATATCTGATCAAACTCTGTTTGCCCAACGTTATTTTGGACAGCCTCTTGGTTTTTTCTAATTTTAAAACAAGTATTGCAGCCGCAAAACACTTGGTCACGTTTTGGCGCCACTGGTGTAAACACTTCGTTTGACTTACTCGGAACTTGACGCCTCCAATGTCCAAATTTTCCCACGATAATTCAGCGTAGGCCGGCAGGTTATTTCCTGAAATGACGATATTTCCTCGGAATCTAAATAGCAAATTATCTTCATCCTAAAATAATATTTCCGTTAATATAATATGGGTATTATTTAAATATTATTTGCGATGTCGGCCAATAGTCCGGTATTGTATTTACTATATCCGTTATATCGTTTTTCATTTCTTGCTGTAGCCATTTAAGCGTCGAGACTGTCATTAATAAATACTGACATTGGTTCGCTGCCAACACTTTTGGATCTAAATTCCCTATAAAATAAATAAAGAAATCATCTCGAAATTGAACATATAAAAAAAACATGATAAAATAATATTAATTAAATACATAATTAATATAATATGTATTTTGCAATGATTTTCTTTGTAATGACCCCAATAAAACCATAAAAATAACCTAAAATATTTTAAATTTATCTAAGAAATTCTTGTTTTGGTTCTTGGAATTAAGAAATATGGGTTCTAAAAAAGGTTCCGGTTGGTTTTCAAACCTTCTTGGAGAACTGGTTATTTCGCTTTTTTAAATTTCACTGTCTGAATTATAAAGTAGGTAATTATAATTAATCTGAAACTATTACAGCGAAAAGTTAAAATTAAGTACTTAATGGAACCATAGGATTTAAAAATCAAGTCAAATCGAATAGATATACCTATTTTTATTATTTTTTTTAACAGTAGATACTATAAACACGCAAATATATTATATTATGAGGTACGCGTGTATTATTTTACCATATTTGTTGTGATCGGGTGGGTTACGGCCTGTGCATTTGATGAGTCTCAATCCGGGTTTGTCAAGATTCCAACTGAGCCAGTCGGCGACTTCGTCACCGCAATCGGTTCCTTCTATGGAGCCGCCCCAGCAAATTTTGCCCGATTTTTTGACATTTTTATCATTTGCATCTAACGACAATGTCATTGGTAGTTCGTCGTCGTTATCTATAAAATTATAGGCCGGTTATTAAAATAATGAGTGGTAATGTGCATATGGAATTTAATGCGAATCTCGCACTAAAGTGGGGGAGGGGGCTATAGCCTGCCCCCCATCCAGATCCAGACCAGTAGCGGTTTTGATAAAACATCAAGGGAGGCGATTTTAAATTTGTTGGGTCCAATACCATAATAACATATCAAATAAGAGATAAAGTTTTTTATAGTCCTATCATACTGTTTAAACATATCGTATCGTTTACTAATAATTACATTATAGATTTGGAGCGTACCGAGGAATTTATTGGTTGATGTCAACTGTAACATTGGCCGCACTCAGTATCGGCTTTTCGTCTCTTTATTATTGATTTCAATGAATAACAAAAGAAGGATAGTTAACAGTATTTTTTGAGGATTTATTTCTTATTTGAAAACAAGAAAATATGATTGGAAATCACAATATTGACGATAAAAATACAGTAGATAGAACCGATACTTGTATAAACATATTATGTACGTGCGTTCGTATACCTACGGCAATTGTAATATTTTCTTGAATATTGTTTGAAAAATTTCGCTGTTTCAAATGTGACGGAACAAACAAAATAGATTCGTGAATTCGCCTCAAAAGACCAAAACTACGTAGACGTATACTTATAAAACATGAGTAATATAGGTACTACGCGAGCTATCTGCTGTCGTTCGTCCGAAACACTTCGGCTAAACAGAGAACGGCATCAAATCACTCTCGCTTGTGTTCGATCTTAGAGACTACCGTGTATATTTTATTATATCTATTCTGGAATAGTATTGTTATAGAACAATGAACATAACCGTCATCTTTGGTTCGACGCGGTATGAGGTACATAAGCCATACAATTCAGAGTATATTGTTGTTACTAACTTAGGTAGTAACAACAATAAGCCAATACGAGCATATTATATGCTCGTGTTCGTTTATTGTTACCATTGATTATAGAATAGACAATTCTATTGTCAATGTTATTACTATAATACTATTATCATTATTATTATTATTATTATTGTTATTAGTACAATAATATATATATAGTGTAATGTAGAATAGTGTACCAGGTGATACATTCAAGTGGGTACATTTATTATCTCGGAAAGTATTAACTCTTTCCGGAATTTGTTTTCTAGAACATTTAAAAAACAAGCAGTTCTACANTTTTATATCCACGTTATTTTTTGTCACCCTTATTTTTAGAGCTAAACAACTACCAACTTTTGATTTTAAAATATTAACCTATATTGGATGAGATATTCCACTTTTAAGTTTTGGTTGGAGGAGAGTAGTAGTGCATTATTATCACGCCACGCGCGGTACCGCCATACAAATGATACTCCGCTTCTCTCCTCCAATCTAAACTTAAAAGTAGAATATCTCGTTCATCAAAAAGTTCAACATTCAAATGTATTTTAACCAATACTCCATCTAATTATGGACTTTTTAATATAGGTTGCTGTTAGAAAATCAAAAGTAGGCAATGGTTTTACCTCCAAAAATAAGGGTGACAAAAAATAACATAAAGATAAAATTGTAGAACTGCTTGTTTTTTAAATGTTATTGAAAACGAATTCCGAAAAAAGTTAATACTTTCCGAGGTAATGAGTGTACCCGCTTAAATGTATCACTCAGTATGCATTATATAGCGTAGAAAACATCCTAATATATTATAATATATATATTTTTTATAGGATGATAATTCTACACAATGTCTTTTCATATAAATACCTACTAGTGCATCTCGCTAAAATAAAAATACGATTAAGATATTATATTATGATGAATCAATATGAAGTTTTTCAAACTTTTGCTATGTACGAAATAATTTGTACCCGTCGTTCTACTAAAAACCAACATTATCACTCACTATCACTATTAATTTACTATTCACCGAAAATGCGTGATATTTATTATTGCACATTTTGCTTATAATATTTCACCGTCTCTACATTTTCTCCAGGTTTTTTTTATTATTCATACTATTTTTTGTCGAGAAAGGCGATGTCATTAAATCATTATATAGTTTACTTGTATTATACGATTAACTAATAATAATAATAATAAAAACACCAAAATTATTTTACTTAATAATAAAAACACCAAAATTATTTTACTTAATTTTAGTTACTAATATATTTCTATTTTTAATAGTTTATTTCTATTTNTATTATTCATACTATTTTTTGTCGAGAAAGGCGATGTCATTAAATCATTATATAGTTTACTTGTATTATACGATTAACTAATAATAATAATAAAAACACCAAAATTATTTTACTTAATTTTAGTTACTAATATATTTCTATTTTTAATAGTTACGTTCTACTGACTACTGGTTCTACTATAGTAGGTATTGATTTTAAAAATCAATGTGTACAACCTGTATTAAAATTACTTGGTATTGTATTTAATAGTATTAGTTTGTGATTTTATATCATAAGTGCAGTTGTGTGAAGTGCTTAATACAACAAACTTTTTTCATAAAGTGCATATCCGTCCCTAAAAGAATGTACATTTTACGTTTCCAAAGTTATAACACTTTATATTATTTACCTATACAATGTCCATATTGAAGTTAAACTATTATTAAAAATTAAATATTAATTCACATTTAATTTTAAATTTAAATTAAATTATTAAAAAATGAATATTTTAATACTAATGAAATTTATTATTAAAATGAAAACACGAAAATGACGATATCAGCTATATCAGCACGTCCAAAAGTTGAATTTATTCAACTCTGCGGTATTCGCGGTAACGTCTTGGTAGACACGATCAAAATGTATGTATCAAGATAATATGAGTCAATCACAAAATAGTATTTCACACGAAACGAAACGACCCGGTTAGTTGAGGACCCCCTCTTAAATATCATCTAATTATAATTAGATAAGATAAATGCACTATTTTAGTTAGATATCATATTGATTAGCTCAGTGGCTGGTGGAGTAGTCTAAGTTAAGATTAAATTATTTTATACGGTTGTGGTATTAGTAAACTGCGGTGTCCGTCGCAAATGTCTGTGGGGTCGTGTTTCGTGTATCTTCATGTAATTCATCTATAATGTGTAATTGTGTACACGAATTCAGTGGTTTTTAAATGGAATACCTATTATTTTTCTTTTTAAATTATAACATAGGTATAGAATATATTTATGTTTGATAATCAACCCTTTTTTGCACTCATCACTCATTTATTATTTATGTAGGTATTATAATTATCGTATTTAATACAATACATATACATTTAACTTATAAACAACTGATTTATTTATTTTCCGATTAATATTGTAAATTCGGCCCTTTAATCGGATGTATGAAATTCGACCAAACGGAGTGGATTCTTCAGTATTCGGCTTGGTGGGATTCGGCCTTATGTACCGTATATGTTGATATATAAATATAAAAGACGACATTATAATGAAAATGATATAATAATTAACTTCAATTAAAATTCTCCGAGGAGGATGCAGCTATCAGAGTGGAACAAGTAAAGTTTAAAGTTATGCCAAGATATTATATGCAATATTATTATAATATTATTTCATTAAAATGTTACTTATCAATAAAAAAAAAATAAAATTAGGAGGGGATTTAATCCCAAAATTCCTTCTCTCACCTCCACTCATTATTCAAACAAAAAAGTATTTATTCTTATCACCCAATTCAAAATCCTAGGCTACGCCTCAAGAATATCGTAATTATTTCATTATGAGACGGAGACACCATCATAATATAAGTTTCCGTTTTTGTAATTTGTCAATTTGTGTTAATCATATATTCAAAGGGCTCAGGTCCGTTAATTTTTTAAATAAATAAATAATTGTATTGTATAGAATATTATACCCGCGTATTTGAGAGTCAAGGTGCCTTTTTGTAAATCGATATTAGGGCTAACCAAACAGAGTTTCGGTTCTTCCAATTGTGTAATACACACTCCCGATTCGCTCACCACTGCCCAATTCCTGTCGTAAAGAAATCCGTACGGTTCCAATGGCCATTGGTCCGTTTCGAACGCACCGCATGACTTTATCGGGTAAACGAAAAGCCTCGTTACTCGTAAATCCATTTTATCGTATCTATTTGTAAAATTTCAACAAATTAAAAATTATAATGTTACATCAAAAAAAGGCGCAGTAAACAATCGGTTTAAATTAGGTATTTATTGGCAGCTAGTGCACTCTTACTCGTCGACAAAGATTTGTTGATGGTCGAAGGGCTTGACGGAACTTTTCTGCCGAAATTGTATTACAAGTGTATTGTAAAGTTTATCGGCGTCTGATTTGCTTGACTGGTAACCAAACGAAACTCGGACCGATCCGGTCGGTAGCCCATCGACAAGATCAATGTGATCGCCGCAAACGTGACCTCTGAAAAGCAAATAGCAATAAAGTCGACATTAGGAATGTTTATAAGACGAGGCCATTGATACTCCCCTCCTATATTTAAGGGGCTGTGTACAAGCAATTTTCTCAACATTTTTGAAAAAATAAAAATATTCAAATTTACATTCAAATAATTTTAAAAATGGTTCCTTTTGTTAGTATATTTTATTGTGTGTTTGTGTACGTCTATCGTTGAATTTTTTCAAAAATACGTTTATGTACAGAAAAAAATTGAGTATCGTACAAAGTGATTTTATTTTATTAAATCATTTATTTATTGTATACACATTAAGTATTACGATATTATGGAGGGGTATGACGTATTGATTTTCAATTTACTCGAATGAGATGGTGTTATATAGATATCAAAATCAAAAAATGGTATCTTTTAAACATATAATAACTAAACGGATATAATATTTAGTACCCTAAAGAAAGAAAAAAGTGGCATTTTTATTAGTTTCCGGACTGTTTTACGCTAAAATGTTGTCATCATAATATTCATTCCGAGATGAAACTGTCATCATATCTCTTAATATTATCCTCTCGTCAATACAACAGACATAAGAATTATTATTATACAATATACTTACACTACCTCTTGGTTTCGCCTCAGATCCTGGTCCGTATGACCCAAATGCGCCTGACAAGCACCAGGGTTGCAAAAACAACCTACGCGTAGCACAATACCGTGAGTATCGGATAAGTGTTTAACCTGAAAACGGTATGTAATAACACAATATGTTTGAATATTGTATAAATATAATTGCTAATAACTTCATTGATAATAATTAATAATGATGCGTATAGGAGACAATAATAGATTACTTAAACATCGGGGTCTTCCGAATGTTATGTTACAATCTTAAGAGTAAGAGTGTGGGTATTAGGCATACTCCTGCTGTCAAAACCGTAACGTACCTATACGTAATGAAAGACTACGCAAATTATATGAGATTTAACTGTTTATTTTTACTGTACGGCAGGTACTTGTGTACATAATATTATCTAATACCTATAAAATATTATACATATTTGTTTATAATATGCCAATTACCAACCATAGTCCTCCTCATCTCTCTCTACTTCAAGAGCATATGCTAGTCGTTATATTATATTATTTTCAATCCGTTATGCTTAGGTATGTTTGTTTCATGTCCCATTTTTTTTACTTTGTCTCTCCACCGTTTTTCTCATATAGGATTTTATATTTTAAAGTTCGATATTTTTCGTATACAGGATGATCAATAAAACGTAAGACACTCGTTATCTCGGAAAATATTAACTATTTTCGAAATTAGTTTGTTAGAAAATTAAAAAAAACAAGCAGCTCTACAATTTTAAATTTCCTTTTGTTTTTGTTGCCCTTGGGAGGCGAAACCACTATCTATTTTTGATTTTCATATACCAACTTATATTAACCTAGATGAAGTTTTTGTTAAAATGCATTTTGATATTGATTCTTTCAATATCCGTCAACCTGTTGACAAAATATTCCACTTTTGAGTTTGTTGTTATGTTGGTAAGCGGAAAATAGTGGAGCACTATTCAAACCCCTAGCGCCGCTCCGCCACACAAATTGATACTCCACTACTTTCCTCTCACCGACATATAAAAGAGGAATATCTCGTTAACGGGTTGACGGAAATTTAAAATTTCAACACCAAAATGTATTCAAAATAAACCTTCATCTATTTACGGAAGTTTTAATATAGGTTGCTATTTGAAAATTAAAAGTAGGCAGTTCTTTCCTAAAACTCCCTAAAATAAAAGTAGCTAAAAATAATAGTTATGTAAAATTGCAGAGCTATTGATTTTTAAAAGTTCTTAAAAACAAATTCTTAAAGAAATTAATACTTTTAATAACGGGTGTCTTAAATTATCATTCTGTAGATAATACAGATTATCGTATACTTACAATATTCGCGCACGGTTGTTTATTTTATTTCGAATCCACTATAACGAATAAGTGCACACTTAGTAATTTCAGTTTTCAAACAGCCGGGCACGTTGCAGATATGACTATTGAATACTGTTATTCAAATATAGCCTTAGCTATAATTATTTATTCGATAAGTGATAATTTATAAAATTAAGTATGGTGAAGTAGTTGATAATTATTTGTTTATACAGAGTGATTGTTTTTAATTTGGCTAGTGTAGTAACATTTTCATAAGTTTTAAAATTTTTGGAAAATTTGAGTTTTAAAAATTTCTGTGGATACTCCGATGGTTGGCACTCCCGTAAATGGTATCTATCGGTAATATTTATATTTATTATTTTCATGTTCCACGGTTGATGTATTAATAAAATAATATTACTCTGTAGAAACTATTATTTTAATAATATGTATACTATATAAATTAAAAAAAATCGAACATCACGTTTTTAAATACTACAAGAGTATAATAGTAGTCGTAATTTAAGACTAAATTTTTTAGATCATCGTTATGTATGATTGTTAAATGAATTGAATTAACAAAAATAAAAATGTTTTGGTATTAACCAATGTTATAAACAGTTGTTTTGACTTTTATCATCAAGTTATTTAATTAGGTTAAGATATGAGTTTTTTTTATTATCGGTGTAAAATTAGACTATAAAACAATATTTAACTGCAGCCGATTTAATTAAATTAAATTAAATTACCTAATTAAAATGTCGTAATAGTGTCTTTTGTATTAATTTTGTTCACAAATATTTACGTATTTATTTGAAACATATTGTTCAACAAATGCGAATATTCAGATCATTTGATCAATAATAATGGCACAGTAATAATTGGTCCCCGTGAAAAAATTCCGCGGAGGTATCTATACAGTATAATTGTTCTTCAATAATTTAATGAAAGAACTTGCGAAAGTGGAATTTTTAAATTATCTACTTGTAAATAACCCCGCTTTTTTTTTTTTTGGTCCATTGATTTTTTACATTAAAACAGCCCTATACCACGGTTCCGTGATCGTGTCTCAACTTCATACCTACATAATGTATATTATACGTTACTCAAATACTCGGTAAGCTAAACTATTTAAGTTGTTTATCGTTTGTTAATTCTGTGTAAATGTATAATATATTCTTTTCTATGTTATTTTTAAGTGCTTCATTTACCATGAGGATAAAAAATAAATTCTTTGGCCTCTTTTTTAAAATACAGAGCACCCAGCAGTATGCACATGTATTAATGTCATTTAAGATTCAAATATCTCATTTTCTCTACTTTTCAGGAGATGCATATACGTACAACTGGTTTATTCGTAACTAATTTCCCAATTCGCATAAAAAATTGTATTGAAACTATTTAAAATTTGCGTGAAATATTTGTAAAAAACTATTTGATTTCATCGAACTCGTCAGTCGTCAGACCAATCGCCTATGACTTTTCGTTTGGGCTACAAATGTTTTTTCAGTGACAAAGTTCGGTTAAATATGTTATGAAACGTGATTAAATTTCGTCAAAATTTGAACTTAGCGCTTAAATATAAGAAAAAACGATTAGAATGTGTTCAAATTTTTTTTTACCATTAAGTTAAACTTATTATGAACTTTAGAATAAATTTTCAAGCATTTCTGTTCATGTAAATAATTTCATTCATATTAAATCAAATAAAAATTAAAAACTCGAAATGGTCCAATACATATATCATGTAGCTCAGAAATCATCAAACGTTTTTTTGAAAATTGACCACATTAGAATAGGCTAATATAAGTATTTCGTGAATATTTCAGCATTCAAAGATTATTTTAAACCCATGCTTTAAAAACTTTTACATTTCCATTATATTTATTCCTGGCTTTTCCCAATTATTAAGCGAAATGCTTGGAAAATCAAAAAAAAAAAAAAAAAGAATTCCTCAAAGAACTATGCAGATTTTAACAAAAAATATTTTTTGTTTGGAGTAAGATTTTTGGTAGAAAAAAAGTCCACGGGGAGAAAAAAAAAACCAAAAAATTTCACACATTATAGTAAAATCAATAAATACGTTTATCGCTCCACTTAGAATTTATACAAGTATTAAAACGTAGATTTATATAATCATTCGTTTATATGCCATCAATTTTTGAAATATGCAGAAATATGCAGAAATATGTAAAACACGATTTCGTCTTTGACACATGAAATATGCCACGAAACAAACGTAATTTGACCGAATCTGTTTTTTTATAATGGTGTAGTAAAATAAACAAACCTTATAACTAATGCATACGAAATTTACATAATAATATTATGCAACCGATCAAATCACTGCTGGTGACGGCCACGATACCTATTAACTGCGTATCAAATAGTATCAACCATTCAGAGCTGGGCATGATTTCAAATCCTTTGGATTTTCAAAATCCAAAATCCAAAATCCATTCCGGATTTTAGGACTCAAAAGGGATTTTGAACTTGGATTTTAAAAATACATTTTTTAAGAATTTTCCTCAGCTCTGCACTTATTCATAATATTTATTTATATTTTCATGTTTAACCGCGTTTAATGTTTAGAGTGGTACTCGCTTCGTTGTAGCCGACGTATTCGCCGTTGGCCCTGAGCACGTTGAAGTTGACGACGCCGCCCTGCGTGTCCTCGCGTTGGTATGCCGTGTCCGCGTACATCCGGAACACTGGCCTCCCGTTCCCGTGTCGCGTCCCGGCCATCCGGTCGAACAGGTACGCGGCCAGTTCGAACGTTCGTTTGGCCACCGCACGCATCGGGCCGGCCAGCGCGCGCAGTGTGTCTAGTCCGTGGCCGACTGCGATCACCGACAAGAAATCGATCGTACCGTCTTCGAACCTGCGCATGACATTTGATAAACCAGTGGTTACAGTGGCGTATTTAGAGAGATATCTATACCTAGGTTGACATCTTTTGTAGCATTTATAATTTTTATGACTACCTATTTTTAGATTCTATGTGTAGCGAAGAATGTGTTGGTTTTACTAAGATTTTTATTTGTCCTTATTATTTTTTTTTAAAATTCGAATTTCTTTACATTTTAGCTAAAAAAAATCAACAGTTTTACTAAGATTTTTATTTGTCCTTATTATTTTTTTTTAAAATTCGAATTTCTTTAAATTTTAGCTACAAAAATCAACAGTTGTATTGGGATCTACTTAATGTTACCTCGACACATCGTACTTGTATCAAAGAAAATATCTAAACCTCTTCTTGTTTTAAACCGAACCTATCCCATCATTATTATTATAACAATTAGTACCTAAATAGTCAATTAATTAATAATAATTATTTACCTAAGTAAATCTATATAGTTATTGGATTTTAATAATAATTTTAGAGCAGATTGAATTATAAATTATTTTTAAAAATGTTCATTTTTTAACTTGGGTTACACGTTGTACAATATGATACAATTTATAAATTACAGATATCACTTCTCGACGAAAACCTTAATACGCCATTGGGAGGTTATGAAAAAAAAGCAAACTCATTATTAGGTACTTACTGAAATACAGAAAAATACGTTTAAAGAGCTTCGTTACTAACATATTTTGTTATATACACATAATATGTATTTACTTTTCGTGTAAATTTTTTTTAAACACATGGTGACGATTTCGAGCGAGGACGACTTCAACCGTGCCGCCACCAAAATATTTTTTGTGACGAAGTACCGATGCGCCTGTACAGTTACGAACCAAAAGCGCTCCCAAGCCGGTCGGATAGCCAAACATTTTGTAAAATGATATAGCGACAAAGTCGGGCGTGTACCTCCCCAAGTCCAAATGATCGGTGGACACGTACGAAGCGGCGTCCAAGACGACGTACCACCTATAAATTGAAGGAAAACCGATAAATAAAATAATTTTATAAATATGTAGCTAACATATGAAGGGTACACGGGAAGAAGGGTAATAACTATAGTTATACAATTTTTTCGATTGTGAGGTAATGATACATTGATACCATTTGATGACGTTTTGTGACTATTATTGAATGCAGAGTTTTATTTGGTGAAACAAGGTTTCAGTTTAATGATGTCGAAGAAAAAATATATCGGATGTACTGGTTAAAAAAAATAATATTGTCCATACGACTGGAGACCGTAGAAGAGTTTTACTCTGCTGAACAATTTTCAAAAATGCGGGACTATTACCCTTCTTCTTTTGAAGAATGAAGACTGTCCTTCATATATCTACATATTTCCTTTGTTCGTCTTTTCTTTTTAAATTTAAATTAAATAAAAACACCATTGTTATTTGTATTATAGATACCTGGACTTAACATTATTTTCGACATATTGATCCAGTGCACCGTGTCGGCACGTCTCTATCCATTTCAATGGATACTTGGTACCCGTAAAATTGGACTGAGCAGGGTAGGCGAATAGCGAATTTCTAGAACAGTTATTACTGGAATTATTACCAATGTCATTTTTTATCTCAAACGAAAATCGTCTATCGTTCAAAGCCTTGTGAGCTTTGTCCCGTGTTAGACACAATAGATTAGCCGTTGGCGGGGCTAATTCTCGCATGCCCAAGACCGAAGTGTGATTGTCCTGAGTGTATGCAAATGTACAACTGCTGTTGCAGTTTGTGGACTGAAAACCTAAATGTATACAGTAAAAGAAATTATAAAAGTTAGGGTAGGTTAAAAATAATAAAGCTAAGAATATTATCTATAAACAGTATAAATGGATAAAATTAAGGTTGACAATGAACTTACAGAAAAGATAAAAATCAAGCAAGGCGTCACGTAAGAATGTAAACCCCATTACTGTTTAATATCTACAGCGAAAGCAATATTTGAAGAAGCCCTTCAGAATGAACATATGGGAATAAAAATAAATGAAAAATGTATTAATCATTTAAGATATGCGGATGACATGGTTATTCACTCTGGTATAATGTATCACTTACAAAAAACTATGGATTGGCTTTCTCTTTTGAAAATGATGGAAGTGCTGAGGAGAATAGGGAAAAATAAGGAAGTAGTAAAAACAGTCAAATTAAGAAAATTGCGATATAAACTATTTGCACCAAATTCTGCAACTTATTTCAGAGGGGAAGATATGTGAAGGAAGAAGGTGAGGGCGGCCTAGAACTAATTGGTTACAAAATCTGAGGCAATGGTTTGATTACAACAATAATCAATTATTCAAGGTGGCCCGGGAGAGGATCCAGATTGAGATAATGATTTTCAACTTCTGATAAGAGAGAAATTTCAAGAATAAGAAGAAACAGTATATATAAAAAAAAAAAAAGGTAAGATAATGGGGACGGGTGCAGCCACTGGTGTATGTGGGAAGTTGGGAAGGTAGGATAAAGACGGGAATTAAATGTATATCTGTAAGCAATGATAAACCATTGCGTACGAAAAACCAATTCTGAGCGAAGTTCAGTTGATAGTAATTCTTTGTCAACAATATATATGTCATTTTGTAGTAAAATAATTAAATAGGCTTTGTATGTTTTATGAAATTATAAGACAAAGTAAATTTTTCTATTTTATGTAATAAATTTCGTTCTATTTAATGCGATCTCACCGTGGATCGACGCCTGAGTGTCTTGTTCTTGGGACTATAAATATTATGCCAAAAATGATTGGGTACCCACGTAACTCTCACCTTTATTATCATTGTTTAGTTGGTTGTCGTTGGTGTCCCACGTGAAATATTCAGCTACAGTCTTCAATGCGGCGGTTGCCCCTGACGTGAATATCACACTGTACTGCTCGGGGCCCGTGTTAAAATGCTTCAGAATTCTACAAACGGCGACAAAACGGAAACCTTATACAGTTACATATGATGATAATTTTTCAATATCATTTGTCAGGGAAAATAAATATTTGTTTATATACACATCAAATAGTATACAAAGTGTAATTCCTATGTACATATATATATATATAGGAAGTTGTTAAATCCTGCAAATACACTCTGTAAATATTATAACATATTATGGTGAACGCACAAGTCATGTTTGAATCAGTTCATTTTCGGGACGACCCAATGTTTATTTATTTACTCTGTTAAGTATCCGCTTGTACAAATAATACTTAAAAGTATTTCTTTGGTCCCAGAGAAGAAAGGCATAATTCTATTTTTGAAATGTATAATTTATAATTTCGTCTAATGTTATATTTTGGTATAAATGACAAAAGTGTATGTAGTACAAAATGTGTGTATCAGTGTTATACACAATCGAACAAATTTAACTTCAGCCCTTATTCCCTAAGACCGAAGATTTATGTGCAGGGAACTTAGTTATATGTTAATTTATCATATACTTTAGTATACTGAATCATCAATTTATTATAAACCAGTGATTTTGGATTTTAATTTAAATTTAATTTTTGGTTTTTTTTCCAAATAATTATGAAATCGTTTAGTCTTCAAAAAAACATTTTAAATTTGTTGTCCCCTAACTCCTTATAACTGAATTGGGTATACGCTTTAGATTTTCAAATAGCAACCCTATTCTTTTGAGCACAGATTCATATACTAAGATGATATTTTTTTATACATTTTGATAGGCATAATAATTACATCTGATTTATTGACATTTATGAGTTATAAGTTACAGTGCTTTTAAGTTTAGAGCGAAGGAGTATACTTATGAATTTATGATCTTAAAATAGATGTACAATTTATTAATCTTCCCCCATTCCTCCGGTATAAATTTTAAACTGTTATAACTCGAGTTATGATCATAAAAGATGTCCGATATTAGTGTTATGCCTATAAAAATTTGTATTTTTATGAAAAAAATTGTATTAATTGTATTATTAAATTTATACGTTATACTTGTATAATATATATATTATATATTATAAACTTGAAGCACCTTTTTCGTTGTTCGCGTATATTCAATGGATATTTTGGTTTTCTCCAATGGATTGATCGAGTTTCGGGAAAGGTTTTAATGTAGGTTAGGCAATAAATTAATAAAAAAAATCGACTGGTATTTAAATTGGCACGGCAAATGTGGTATGATGATTAACTTTTTTTTAAATTTTTTTTCTGTGGACAACCAGACATTTTGCATTAATTTACAATGATAGCATTTTTTTTTGAAATTTAATCTACTGGGGTGGTATTTTTGGGATGTTGTTTTTTGATTTTCTTTGTAATTTTTCAAATAATTGAGCAAAGTCGAAAAATAATATGTTGAAAGAAATTTAAGAAAATAATTCTAATATTATTTTAATTTTTGTTTTTTTTAATGCAATTCAGTTTAAAATAATTGTAGGGACTAAAATATTGACAGAAGACTTAGCAATTTTCGAGTTATTTATAGTAATTTTAATTTTTCGAGGTTTTTTACATAATTTTTATTTGATAGATACTCTGTAGATAAATTATTACATTTATTATAAATGCTTGACAATTTGATAGGAGGTTCATTATAAGTCGTACTTAGTGGTGAAAAATAATTTAGTTTAATGTAGTAGTTTTTTATTTGTGTAAGCGTTTTAAATCAAATTTTGACGAAAATCGTAAATATTACGGCCTTTCAAAACATATATAATCGAAAATCATTCTGAATCGTTTTTCCTTATCAATGATTTATTGTTGGTTACAGGTGTAAGTTAAATAACTTAATGTATCCCACCTTCCCCACTACTCACCTAAAACAGTGGCTACACCCGTCACCAGTATCAGCTCTTTTATATTTACTGTGTAAGAGCAGAATCGCATGCGACAGTTAGTAATATTATAAATTATAACAGTGCTCGAATTGTTAAAATAAATGAAGAGAGACTATACGGCATATAAAAAAAATTAGTGTCCTTTTCAATTATTGAACTCAACCGAACCCCCAATTTTCAAACATAATTCAGTAATTCATAATTTCTGAAAACAAATACTAACTACTGTAAGATAACTTTTGCTTACATAGTACTTACTATAGTGTATATTATTTATTTTAGATTCTAATATGATGGGTACTATGATTTTATTATGACGATGTGTTTGTTCTTTTTCTGTATGTGAACAACTTTTCTACCAGAAATCTTGCTCCAATTATTAACTTTAGAGGCGATGGTTCCAACCAAAAATTGTCCTTTTTTTGGTGAAATAAGGAGGTTATTTTTTGATTTTCTTTATAATATTCTTAATTATGACGAAACCCCTAGAAAAATGCCGAGGACAATTTATAACTGTTACATTTACTGCTTCTGTATTTTGTTTATTCAATGAAAAATAATCATAGAAGTCAAAAATTCCACTGAATATTTGTATTGGTATAGTCTCTTATAAACAGTTCTTTTCAGAAATGGTACCTCATATCCTCCACTTCAAGCAAATAGTAAAGGTACGCTTACATTTCTGAAAAATTAGTTGAAGTACTACGTACTTCTGCGTCTCCCCTTAATTCTAGCACTGATTTATAATCGTTTTCCGATTGAAATTATCGGTAATTTATACTTATACTTACCTACTAGTAATTGAAGATATAATTTTAAAGTTTACAATATTGGCACAGGTAATTATTTACTCACTTGAATCGAATATTATTGATGAGTTTTCCGATGGTCGCTGAAGGGTCACCACTGGAATGCGGATTTCCGTATAAGTTTGTTTTAAAATCGTTCATCACGTTATTAATTTGGCTGTCGGCGTATAACGCGGAGCCACCGTGGTCCAGGTAACAAGTTTCTTAATAAAAATTTCAAAATAAATAAATTGTTATAATATCGAAGTATTGTAATATTATTACCTTTCAATCTACCAAATTCTTTTTTGATTAGATCGGACGTATTGATTTTCGAATACATTTTTCTTTAACAATTAGGTGACTACTTAAATTACGTTCTACAATTGATTAATCAATTAACGTTATGCTTTTGATTGCATAGTATTACTAATGAATTAAACTATAGATACCTGCGTTAATATTTTCGATGTTAGAAAGCTACGAACGTTTTATAATGTTGTAAGTAATGTTTATATAAAACATAGTTATTAATATATACTTACAATAATATCATACGAATTTTAAATGGGGGGAACTTATACGACTTTCGTTTGAAATATTATCTGATTGTAGCGCGTAAATAGATATGTACCATTTTCTTTAACTATAACTACACTCACACTATCGATTTATGTCGAGAAGCCAATATATATTGTATTAGTAAGACTTCATATTTTATACCAAGTAACTATAATAATAATCAGTGTGTCGTAAAACAGGTGTCATTATTTTTTAGTAAATTTAATAAACAATAGGGATAACAATGTCTAGGAATATATTGGTTATGCTATGGTAAGCGTAGTTTTTTTTCTGTCTGTAAACAATTTTTCTACCACAAATTTTCCTCTGATCATAAACTTAATGAGTGGTTTATGGTAACATGTTTTGTCTAACCGGTGTATTGAGGATGTCATTTTTTTGATTTTCCAATTAGTTTTCTTAATAGTTAAGTAAAACCGAAAAATAACGTAGGATTAACGGGGAAATTTACGCAATATTGATTTCTGTTATTTTCGATTTTGTCTTACATAAATAGGCAGTATATGCGATCAACACTCGCACATACAGTATCTACTTATTGACAAGTTTAACCGTTCATTTAACGCGGATCCACATTGCGTGTATTTAATCGTTATCTTCGTTATTATTAGAAAGCTGATTATTACTTTATGTTGTGGTTATAAATGTGGCCTGTTGCTGAAACCAAAACAAATGTTCCGCTTGGGGATTTATTGATACGAGAACTTTTAAAAACCCTGGACAAAAATGCCCAGTCTACCATATCCTTCTTTCTTACTTAATTATACGTATGCGGCATGCGCTGCAGTAATGAAAAATCATCTACTAAGGATAAAGGCCGGTTATAGTATTTTACGCAAGAAAAAAAGAGTACGTTTATACCCTAAGTAGAGGTAATACGTGTTTTCGCGATTTCGAAAGATTTTTAATAACGGATTTAACGGATTATTAAAAAAAAAAAAAAAAAAAAAATAGATAATATATAAATATCATATGTGTATATTATATTATTTAAACGTATAATAGAAATAGATTACCTACCTACCTATATATATATATGTACATAATACTCGATTGTTATTTCTATAGGCAGTAATAATAGATATGTCTACAACAGTAAATATCATATATTGTATATCTAATCTCTTAACCGACAGTAGAACATAGTCAACAATAAGAATAATACTTATAATTTCGACGTTAAACATTAAGACATATTTAAATATTGTTGATTGTACAATGACCCCTAATTTAAGGATAAATTATAAATAAAGTTATAAAAAAAAGAAAAACGTGTTTGTAAAATATTTACTTTGTTTATTATTTTGTGTGTAATTGCTATCAATGTTCTTAAATATTATTCATACATTCTATCGCATGCTTTTTACTTTTCTGAAAAATCCTGTGAAGTGAATTTAGGGGATAGGAAGGGAGAGATAGAGAAATTAATTATGCAATGTGAACGGGCTATAATAATTTCGATAAAATAATATATTGGGAATAGTTTTTGACTATTAACAATTTTGTTGTTACTAAAAGAAAAACAAAACACTACTTTTATACAGAAATAAATATTAAAAGAGGAATTTTCATTAAAACAATGATCAACGTGAAATCGAACATATTAATGATTTCGAAAAAAAAAAAAACTTCAACCGTCGTTGAAAATTATATGAAATATTTTTGATAGTTGAATCGAAGTGAGATATATTTTATTCGAACGCTACTCGTAATCCTTTCTGTTTAAATATAAATTAATTTGCACGTTTTATTTATTTATTATTATTCGAATATAATATGATATAGGTAATGTAATTTATACGCCATTCGGTATTCAACAATAAAACATTAATGCCAGGTCACATGAACAATCACCAAACATTTATTGAATCAATAGTGAGCTGATGATCCCTTAAACATGATTTAGTGCAGGTTAATGATTGATTCGTTAAATTTTATTGAACCGTCAAACTAATTAATTTTTCATGCGATCCGGCATACGAGTTTGAAACATAGGTGTGTAATATATGAAGTTTTATATATTGTTTTACATAATGTGAATATGTATAAACACCTAAGATATTTCGAAAAGTTAAACCATAACGAATATCCAGATATTCACAATTAATTTATTAAATACAGTAAGGTACATTATACACAGCACTTTTTGTTACGTAGTTTTTACGCGGTTTTATAATATAATTAACATTTAAACGCGTTTGTAATTTAATATAGGTACACATAATTTTTTCATGTCGACTTATTGAAATTTATTTTTTAATCTCACCTTTTTTTTGTACTCGCGTATGCAAATAGTTAAACTATAGAAATACAATTTTTTTTTTTTTTATTAAGGTTCATTTTTACAGAAAAAAAATATAATAAATATGATGCAGGTAGGTTATTATACTTACCTAGTTACGTATAATATGAAACTACATAAACATAATAAGTATATATTCATTGTTTTTCTCGTTTATTAATTTTTATTACCACCGAGAGAAAATAATTCATTAGAAATAATAATAATAATAAACAATAGATTGTAATAATATTTTCAGTATAGTACATTTGTACTTGAAACTGTTGAAATGCGGTCATTGTTTTTGTAGACCACGCATACTGTAGAAAAAAAAAAATACTTGCTAATCAAGATTTAACTTTTTTTCAAAAATGTTGCAAATTTTGAGGGCATAATTTTAAGAAAAAATATACTATATAATTGGGTGTAATATTGTTTATAAGTAATAGGCTCCTATAGTTATTTAAACAGAAATAATAGAAGTAGATTTGATCCTTTTTTTTTGGGGGGGGGGGTCAAGGGCTAAAAACTCTCATATTATGTATCGTTAGGTTGTGGATTTAAATGCTTTAAAAAACAAGAAGAATGTCTTAAAAAAATACAATTTAATGCACTTAAATAAAATAAATTTAAAAATGCTTTAAAAATTATTTTAAACGTTGAAAAAACACTATGAAATTTTTTAAAAATGCAAAATAAAAGTTTCGTATTTTAATTCTTTGATATATGAAACGAATTTTGTATTTGGGAAGCATTACTTTAGGACATTAAGAAAAAAAGCGATTTTTATTATAATCCAAAACCCTATTTATAATATTTTAGATTGGCATATTTTGTAATAAAATAAAAATGTTGACGGGGCTCTGGATTATTTTGAGAGGCTGGTATCACCCACTCTTAAATTTCTGTCTATAAGTTGGGAATTGCAGTTATCTTGTCTTGGTAATAAATTCGAAAAAAACAAAAACGTTTTGATTGTGTCTAAACAACTTTAAATAGTATATTTTCATTTTGCTCAGCGCATTTGTAGGAACGATAAGGGTTACACTAATTTATCACGATAATGTTAAGTATAGCAAAACAAATCTGAAAACTTTTTACACATCATCATACAAATAAAACCACTAAATTGTTACGATTCTTTTGTATAATTCTTATTACTAATAAACCATAAACTATGTATTATACTAATATATTTATTCGTTATTAGAAACCATCTAAATACGTAATACTATATAATTATAAATCGAATATTATGTATAATATATAATAACATACCTAACGCGATAATATTAAATATTCATAAATAAATTATATGTTATTATATTATTCAATAAGTATATATAGAATATAGATATATTAATTTTTTTAAACGGCTTCTATACAATATGAATTTGATCACATTAACAAATGTATATTATCATAGGTAAGTACAATGATATTATTAATATTAAGTTAAGTGTAATAACAATAATATAATATTATAGATTGTCTCTATACACGACAAAATAAGAATTTTTTTTTTTTTTTAGCGACTGATTGTCATTTGTATTACTAAAAACGAATAGATAGAATCGTATTTTACAATAATACAACTACTCATATTATTTAGAATAAATAAGTCTGAAATTATGATGTTTGGAGATGTATGAGTATATTAGGTAGGGCGTAGGATTATATTATTAAATTAGTGGTTAGCCGATATGACTTTTTTCAGATATCCGATACATCGATATTCTCAATATTGGTTTGTGCTGATACTCACCACTAATTATAATATTTGGTATGATGATAATATTATTGATAAACATGTGTTGAGCAAAAAATTTGAAAATTATTGAACGAAGATAATGTTAAATATTAAATTATATTAAATTGTGTTAAGACTACGAGACCTACTGCATAATGTTGTATTAAAATAGTATCATATTTAAAAGATTTAGAATTTGATAAGTAATGTAGGTAAATATTATGAATCCCGATATACATATATATTTTTTTTACGGATATGTTTAATGTGTTTTTGTTTTTTGTTTTTTAGCTCTTATAATAGGTACATAATAATATTATCTATCACTTATAATTATATGTAAGTACTCGTATAGTAATAATAACGTATATTAAGTGGTACTGGAATAATTTAAAGACTAAATATTGTAAGACTAAGAAATAACATAATAATGAGGAATGGTAAGTTCCTGCACGATCGTGATTTACATAAAATAAATAAGTTCCTACACAGGCGCGAAATAATACGATTAATACGTTGGTTCCTATACGGGACTAAAAAGATATAATTTGTACGTTTTTTTTACGTATTTTTTGATACTACATAAGTTCTAGTGGGTTTTTTTTTTGAATATAATATGATGTATCTCTATATTTATTTTTTAATTCCGATTAATATTATTATTATATCAATGTATTTATAATGTGATTTGCAATTTTGATCGGGTTAACTTATGCGACGTATACTTGAATATTCTTAATTATTTTCTGTCCATATATTATTTGTTTGAATATGAATGTGCTTTACCTGTGTAAGCATATAGCTAGTTATTATATTTAATTGCAATTTATGGCTTATGATAAGTTGGAAGTTGAAAAGCCAAATTTCGTGTACGTTACTAGTGTTAGAAACTAAAGTATCAACTGATTCTAGTATTTATACATACGCAGAAACCAACATAAATCTCCTTTTCGATCTATATAGGAACTAATATATTATAATGGTCTTTTGCACCTGAGTTGGAACATACATATACAATGTGTTCCACTGTGTTTGATGGATTTTTCTAGCGCTGTTAATATTAAATTTGTTTCGATTTTTTCTAAATCGATGTTCCCTTCAATGACAACCCGATTGAAAAAAAAAACAATCGAAACAAATTTAATATTAATAGTGCTAGAAAAATCCATCAAACGCGGTGGGGCACATTTTATATCTTTTTAGGTGAATGAGAGCCATGTAAGAACTTAACCTTATTTAAAATAAGAATGATGATAATAATAATAATAATAATGAAAAAATTGATGGAATAACATATTTTAACGAGCAAGAATTAAAATATTAATATTAGGTATAAGTAAAACCAAATTTATGTAATATTAATGACGATAATAATAATAATAATTGTTGACGATTTTTTTGTATTATACACGGCGATGAAGTTATTTTATTATATAGTTTTTTTAAAATTTCTTTCGGTTTTTTTTTTGTTTTGGCGAAGTAGTTGTCGTAAAGGTTTAAACGGGACGTCAGACCGTTCAGCAAATATACGTAGAAACGTTATTAGTGCGGTAGTGTTATCGATGTCGTATGTTCACTTGTTGCCGCCGAATAGTTGATACTGGAAACAAAAAAAACATACAAAACTGTAATTACAATATTGTATTATAATATATATATATATTTTTTTTTTTATAAAATTCGCCCCATATTTTATCTATAAATAATCTGCACAGCGATATTATTTTATTTGTGGTGTTCTGCAGTTTTTAAAACAATGTCTTTTTTTTGGATTACAACTGTTTTTATGTTTTATTTTTTTCATCGATTGTAAATATAGCCGTTGAGTGGAAACCTGCTATTGGGAAGAACCTACAGAACGTCCAAAGAAGTAATGGATGGATGCATTTATGAATATAGATTATTTTCTTCAAATAACCTCAAGAAAAAGATTTTTTATAATTTATAATGTATATTATATTATAACAAATGTTTTGCTCGCATTATTATTTGTATATTTAATTTATCTAATATGTTTAGTCACCTTATTTAAATGGATAGGCAATTGAATAGACGGATGATGTGAAAAATACCAAGACAAATTAGGTGTAGTGAATTGGCAAAAGAGAGTATACATAATTACGAGTGGAAGGCTGTGTTGGTGGCAGCAAAAACTTTCAAAGTGTTGTGATGCCAAGAAAAAGAAGATAACATGATACTCGCTAATATTGTCTGTTTTTTGGTTATTTAATATAATACTGTAATTTTTTTTATATTACGAAAACTAAGTTGCCAAAGTGCAAAGTTCAAAGTGTATTATCAACCATTTTTGTTTTGTTTTAAATCAGGGACGTAAAGATATAAAAATCCATAGAATCAGAATCGCGATGAATCGTTCAAACAGTAATTAATGATAAAGAACTGTAATTTATTATAATCGTAAGATTTACGCGCGTTCGTAATACGATTCCTCTTGTAATCTTTGCAGTTTAATAATTACGTGTTCAAATAATAACCGGTGCGATTTCCGGGGTATTATATTATTTATTGATGTACCATAATAGGTATTGCCCTTTAAAACGAAGCTTTACGCATCAGCGAAATTAGACTTTCTTTTATTAGGACAGGGCAAATGATAAATATATAAACAAATTCTAATTACAATTATTCACTTTACGAGTTTGGTTATCGATCATAACATGTTTGTAATCGAAGAAAAAAAACTACTACTTGATATAATATAAAAATAAACGACAAATTATTTGTTTACGAATGAATTTCAAAGAATTATATCAAATCTGCATTTACGGTAGGTATGAATGGTATACCCATGCATTAGGTATATATATATTCAGTTAAAAACATAGTAGGCATTTTAGATGAAGAAATAAAGTTGTTCATTTAAAATTCTGTTAATTCAATTAATTAGTTTGTTATCCAGTCAGTATTAGGTCAGGCGAAGTCTCGACAGATAAGTAAAATGAAAATTAATATTTCTGACCATCATACTGCGACTAAATTTATGTTTTATTAAAGGGCTTCGTCACTAAAATTTGTGTCACACGTAATATAGCAAAAAAGTATTTAATATTTCCACAATTGAATTTAGGGTAACGGGATATATTATACATTTTATAAAAAAGAATAGTTAATATGGATCTTACGAATGATTTATTAAATATTTTAATTTTTAACAAGATTAACGTGTCTTAATTTTTATCTTAAGTTAAACTATTATTAAATTATAAAGAAATAAAAATATTAAAAAAGGCATTCGTAAGATCCATAGAAAATACTTTTCTTTATAAAATGTATAGTAGGTCATTTGCCTTTGCCTTAAACTCATCCAGAGTGTCGCAATTGTGGAAATACGGAATGCCTTTGTTACTATATTACGCACGAGACGGACGGAGAAAACAATTGTTAGTAACGAGGCCACTTAAAAAAATATTTGAAATTATTGTCAATAGTCGACGACAATTATATTATTATTCCTTCAATTGCTATGAAAAAATAAAAAATGTTGAATCCGATATTACTACTGTAAAATACATTGCATTTAAAAATATTTAAATATTTAAATTTTAACCCAGCCACAGCACGGTAACCGTAATAATCAAATACGATTAAATGTGTAAAAAGCGAAAGAAAAGGACTTATCGACGAACTGGAACACCGTATTAGGTAGGTACACGATAAACTTTGTCGATTATACACGGTACAAATTATTCTACTTTGAGAAATAAGAAGTCATGGGCATTAATGAAAAGGTTTGAAGTCCAAAATATATGCAGAAACACGCAACCTAAGATTAAGCCACAATCGATAACCTCAATACTAATTGAAAACTTTAGGGGCACTATATCAAAAGAACAAAATAGATCAGTCAAACGTAAACTACGGAGGATCCTAAATTCTTCTATTGTGAAAATTCTAGTGTGATTGTGGTGCAAACAACTAAACTATAATGGAATCCATATGAGATGAATGCGCAAAGAGAAAATTCCACGGAATTTCGGTGGAATTAAACGAAGCATCAAATACAGCTATTAAATGGTTTGACTCATTGAAAATTGACACTTAACGCTGCTTAATACCGTAGCAAAACGCAGTGTTTCTGCAATTTGATTGTATTGATATTCTATTTTGTCGTTCTATTTGTTTAATTATTTTAATTTTCTGCTAGTAACTATAATTGTACCAATATTACATCATAATTCATAATTATAATTATATAATTGCATTCAATAAAGGTCGTGCGAAAGTAAATAATATGTAACAATGTTTCATAGTATTTACCTATACGTATTTTAATTTGTTTAAAACTACATTCCCCGTCCCGTGTTTAATAATTTTCGGTAATAATATTATGATTTTATTTGGCGATAAAATTGGTTTTGTAATAATATTAATAATCGTATTATC